CACAGGATAATTAGAATAAAAATTCTGTGAGCAACAAGGACTAAGGGGAAAGAGGCTGGAGAAAGGATAAAACACTGTGAATACTGAAGAGCAGAACTTCAGCATGGAATACTTAAAAAAGGCACTGGGAAATCCCACAATGGAACTATAAAACTACACTGGGATTGTGGAGGAGTTTAGCAGGGCTGGGTTCTACGAGGCCTCAGCTCTGGGGTTGGTGGCTCTGAGAGCCCCAGGGTGGTGACACTGAGAGCCTCAGGATTGATGACTCTGAACCACAAGGCTGGTGGCTCTGAGAGCCCCAGGGTTGGTGGCTCTGAGCCCCAGGGTGGTGACTGTCCCTGCTGTCCCCCCCAGTCCAGGCGCAGCGCCGCAGCCGGGAGCACTCGCGCTCCGCCAGCGCCCTGAGCATCAGCGGCGCGCCCGACGAGAAATCCGAGCCCTCGGACGGCACCGACCAGCGCCTGTCCTACTACAGCAACGGGGGCTTCTTCACCACCACGGCCACAGGTACAGCCACACCCTGGGGACAGACAGGCTGCCCAGCTGCCCATGCAGCTGTCCCCACAGCCAGGAAACCGCGCAGATCCAGAACGTTGGGTTGTGCACAAGCAACAGCTGTAAACGTGTATTTGGAACTGACTTAACCAACCCTGTGGCCCATCCCTGAACTTTATCCCAACCAGCTCCATTGCAATCCCATAATAACCCTACACAATGATCTTTATCCAAACCAGCTCCACCACAATCCCGTAAGAATCCCACACAATGATCTTTATCCCAATCAGCTCCATTGCAATCCCATAATAATCCCACACAATGATCTTTATCCCAATCAGCTCCATCACAACCCCATAATAACCCCACACAATGATCTTTATCCCAACCAACTCCATCACAACCCCATAATCACCCCACACAATGATCTTTATCCAAACCAGCTCCACCACAATCCCATAACCCCACAAAATGAACTTTATCCCAATCAGCTCCATCACAACCCCATAATAATCCCACACAATGATCTTTATCCCAATCAGCTCAATTGCAATCCCATATAACCCCACAAAATGATCTTTATCCCAACCAGTTCCATTGCAATCCCATAATAACCCCACAAAATGATCTTTATCCCAACCAGTTCCATTGCAATCCCATAATAATCCCACACAATGATCTTTATCCCAACCAGCTCCATCACAACCCCATAATAAACAACCCCAATTATCTTTCTCCATCCCATAATAAACCCATAATAACATTAACCCCATAATAATCCCATAACAACTCTCTCTGCAGTGGGCTACAAGCAGGTCAAGACCATTGAGTTGCCACAGCAGCGCTCGTCCTCGGTGGCCACCCAGCAAACCACGGTGTCCTCGGTGCCTTCCCACCCCTCCACTGCTGGGGTGAGTAACCCTGGGGGATGTGGGGACCTAGAGGGGTCACAGCCACTAATTAATGATTAATTAACACTAATTAATAGTGTTAATCCAAGACTGAGTTGGTGACATTGCAGTCCATGGGGCAGAAGCTCTGTATGAAACCAGGTGTGACAGGGACTTAAGTGGGATAGAGCCTCCCCTGTGCCTGGAAACTCAGAATGAGCACCTGGAAACTCAGAATGGGCACCTGGAAACTCAGAATGAGCTCCTGGAAACTTGGAATGGGCACCTGGAAACTCGGAATGAGCTCCTGGAAACTCGGAATGGGCACCTGGAAACTCAGAATGAGCTCCTGGAAACTCGGAATGGGCACCTGGACACTCGGAATGGGCACCTGGAAACTCGGAATGAGCTCTTCTTCCTATCAGCCCCTGAAAACTGAGCAGTGGGAGGAAGTGCTCATTCAGAGAGTAAAGGACAGTGGGAATGGCCTCCAAAAACTGCTGGGAGGTGGTGACACTTGGAGCTGGTGGTGCCCAAGGCCAGCAGGGGTGAGGACACTGCTCAGGCTCGGTGTCACCAGCACACCCCAGGGTTTGGCACTTGGGTACCCACGGGGCTCAGGGAGGCAGAAGAACCCAGAGCAGGAGATTTGAAGGAGCAGCCAGACCCTGCTGTGACACCAACCCCAACCCTGGGGTTTGACCGTGTCCCTTGGTGTTCCTGCAGAAACATTCAGGGCCATGCCAGGCTTTGACCGCGTCCCTTTCTGTCCTCTATGGCTGCTGGCGTTTGACCACGTCCCTGTGTCCCTGCAGACATTCTGTCCTCTGCAAGGCTCTGACCATGTCCCTTCTGTCCCTGCAGGGTTTGACCACATCCCTTGTGTCCCATGTCAAGGTGTGACCATGGCCCTTCTGTCCCTTTGTGTCCCTTCTGAAGAGGGTCTGGGCCATGTCAGGAGCGTGACCATGTCCCTTGTGTCCCCTGTAAGGCTTTGGCCACATCCCTTCTGTCCTGTGTCCCTGCAGAAGACATTCCAGGCCATGTCAGGGCATGACTATGTCCCTTGTGTCCCTTCAGAAGAGGTTCTGAGCTCTGTCAGGGCATGACCATGTCCCTTGTGTCCCTTCAGAAGAGGTTCTGAGCTCTGTCAGGGTGTGACCATGTCCCTTGTGTCCCTGCAGAAGACATTTCAGGCCATGTCAGGGCGTGACCATGTCCCTTGTGTCCCCTGTGTCCCTGCAGAAGACGTTCCGGGCCATGTACGACTACACGGCGGCGGACGCGGACGAGGTGTCCTTCAAGGATGGGGACACCATAGTCAACGTGCAGGCCATCGATGAGGGCTGGATGTACGGCACCGTGCAGAGAACCGGCAAGACCGGCATGCTGCCGGCCAACTACGTGGAGGCCGTGTGAGCCCAGCCTGCCCCGGGCTGGGACAGCTCCCTGGGGTGGGACGTGTCCCCCCGGGGATGGGACACCTCCCCCAGGCCCTCCCAGTCCCCTCAGCACAACAGAAATAACTGCAGAGCAAAACACACCTGGAATATTTCCAGAAGTACCTCTAAGCACATCCTGCCTTTCTCCTGCTGTCAAACACTTCCAAATGTCTGGAATTTCAAACGTTTCATCACGATCTAAGACACTACACAACATCTCCAAAATTCCGTTGCTGGAGACTAACACACACATTGTATGTTCTCCCACAAGGAGAGAATTTTTCTGGGCTGTTCTAAAATATTTCAATCTCTTAACTTCCTTTTCCATTTAAGCTTAGTATTTCAACCCAATTTATCTGGGGAGGGGAAAGCAACCACCCCTCTCCTCCTGCTTGCTGAGCTCTCATGAATGTTTCTCCTGCAACTGTTCTGGGGGCAAAAGCTGTGATTTCTTGTAAATTAGTGATGAATAAAGCTGAGGTTTCTGCAGTATGGATGGATGCTGTGGTGCTGGAAAAGGGAAGGGAAGGACCCGGATCTGGGGTTATTCCACACTTGAACATCACTTTTTGCTTGGTAGTAGCCACTCCACAGGAAAGAAGGGAATAAAAGTACCTGGATCTTGTGTCTCCCCTAGATTAAATCCAAGTAAAAGCAGGGGTTGTAGCATCACCCCACAGGAATTCGGAGTCCAGAAGGAATTCCCAGCAGAGGCAGCCTGGAAGGGAAATGTCCTTCCCCAGGGCAGGGTCCAGTTGGAGTTGGGAGTTGGGCTCAAAACCCTTTCCATGTGTCAGGAACATCCTGACCTGCCCAGGGCATGGGATGGAAAGCTGAACCCTCCTAAGGAGGCAGATCTGGAACCAAAACAACTTCTCAAGAAAGCAACAAAACCCTCAGAGCTTCCTCTTGCAGCTCCAGGCTGTTTGTCCTGTCCCTTTTCTCCACGAGACACAAACGAGGCAAAAAAACCTGAGAGTTTTGCAGGGAGATCCCACCTGTCCCTGTGCTCCCACCTTACACCAGCACTGGTGACATTCCCAGGTCCCTCCCAGCCTTGGGAATCCCAATTTGAAGGGAAGCTGAAGAGAGAAAAATCCCAGAAGCCACAACCAAGACTGGGAACTATTTGCTCTTTTTATTTGCCCATGTAAAAGTTCAAAAACCACCTGCAGCAGTTCCTTTCAATAAACATCCATCTGGACAGCTACAGTACAATATATACAGATCAGAATTCCAAAGGGAAAACCTGGAATTCTGGATGAAGGTCTCCAGGAAGCAGCAATGCAGTCCATGCAATTAAAACTCCATAAATTATTACCCAACATCTGCTGTGAGTCTGTACACAATATACAAAGAGCTCTTGTCCAATCCATCATTTCCTCACGGAAAAAAAGTCTTCCCACAAGAACTGCTGCCAGCAAAGGCCATGGGGCAAAGCCTGGGGGGCTCTGCAGAGTCTCTCTCCCGTACAAGCACACTTCCTCTGAGCTTGAGTCGTACAAAAATACATGGAAAAATAGATCCAGTACAAATCCCAGGCTCCTGCTGGAAGGAATTAACCCAGTTTACCTCACACGTGCTGCTCCAAAGGGGCAGAGCTGGCAGCTCTCAGCCCACAGCAGGAGTCTGCAGCAGTAAGAACACTTTGGATTTGAAAAAAATAATTTAACTACTCTGTTGGTTTGGTTTGTCACAGTCTTTGCTATTGCACAGCTTTGTCAGGTTTTCTTTCAGTGCCTGAAAGAAAGATGCATAGCAATCCCATAGAAACACCTCTGTCAGGGAAAAAACAGTCCCGTGGATTTGGGGAGGAGGAACCAACAAAAAATACAGGCAAAAAACAGGAAAAAAAAAAATTAAAGAGGGGGGAAAATGAGAGGGGAAGAAAGAAAGAAAGAGGGGGGAGAAAGAAAGAAAGAGGGGGAAGAAAGAAAGAGGGGGAAGAAAGAAAGAAAGGGGGAAGAGAGAAAGAAAGGGGGGGAAGAGAGAAAGAAAGAGGGGGAAGAGAGAAAGAAAGAGGGGGAAGAGAGAAAGAAAGAGGGGGAAGAGAGAAAGGAAGAGGGGAAAGAAAGAAAGAGGGGAAAGAAAGACAGAAAGAGGGGGAAGAGAGAAAGAAAGAGGGGGAAGAAAGACAGAAAGAGGGGGAAGAAAGACAGAAAGAGGGGGAAGAAAGGGAAAAAAAGAGGGAAAAATAAAAAGGGAAAAAGAAAAAAAAAAAAAGAGAACAAATTCATGAAGATGTTAATAAAATACAGCCCCAAGTGCAGACTGAAGGAGTAAGTGAGCAGAGAGGAAAGCAGGGGGATGTCACACCGAGCTCCTCCTGCTGAGGATGAGGATGAGGAGGAGCTACTCGGGGCCCTGCTGGGGCGGGCAGGGCCAGCGCGCCTGCAGGCTCCTCAGGACGCACGAGGCCATGGCCAGCAGCTGCTCCTGCATCTCGCACAGCTGCCTGCCAGAGTAGCCCTGCAGCTCCTCCGAGCTCAGCTGGGCTGCCAGGGCCTGGATCTGCCCCAGCAGATCCACAGGGGGCTGCTCGCTGCTGCTGCTGCTGCTGCTGCTGCTGCTGCCAGCCTCCAGATCTGCAAGGAGGGAAAGGAGAGAAGTGCAGGGAAATCCAAGCACAATTCCAGCTGGTTTTGTGTGGCAAGCTGTTGTCCTGACTCCTAAGATTTTCTAAAGGCTTCTGAATTTATATTCTCACACAACTTTCTGTAAACAACCTATTGTTTTACATTCCTCCATAGAGGCAGAGAAATTTAATGTACCAGTAATTTGTCCAATGTCATTGGAGAGGTGGCATATTCACCCTCCAATCCACTGTCACCTTTGGAAAAGTATAAATGCTGGGGTCAGAAAATAAACTCCCTCTTTTTCACCTTTGCAATAGCAGTGGCTCACATTGTGCTTTCACGTGTCCTATAGTGACAGCAATCACGTTTCTTTCTCTCTGTGCACCTCCATGAAAATTCCTGATAGACAGAAATGTACTTGCCACCGTTTTGTACAAAATCACTTATTTGAGCAGCCTGCCATGTATTTATTCCATGGGAAACATTCCCAGCAAAGGCACTTCACCCTGCCCTTCCTCAGGGTGAGTTTTTCATGATTGAAGAAGAAAACTAAACCCAAAATAAAACCAAAAAAGGATGAGGTGCTCCCACCAGGAGAGAAAGAAGACAAGACAGCAGAGCCCTCTAAATCTAAAGCAAAAAGCCACCAGCAGGTACCTGCTGCAAGTTTTTCCTCATCTCCACTCAGAGATTTCTCCTCCACGTCATTTCCAGGCTTCTCAGCCTCTTCAAGCACTGTGCTTTCCTCCAACACTCGAGATTTTACCTGAGTGTTTTTTGGGGAGAGAAAACATTTTCAGATTGAAAAAAAAAAAAAAAAAAAAAAATTTACATTGTGAGATGTATTTTGGCCTCATAATAAATCCAATCACATTTCCTGTTAATAATAATAGCTTAACCAAGTCATCTGTATCTTGAATTCATGGTACTGAGGCAGGCAGGGATTAGGTTTTAAAGTGCTGTTTTTAATGAAGGAAAAAAATACATAATTCCTGCTGCAGTAACTGAGATCAGCATAGGCTTCCTGGGTGCCAAAATTCAACTTTACCTGTTGCTCATGGTATCCTTTCAGAGCTCTTTTGACATTGGAGACTTTGGGGGAGCGGATGGGGAGGGTTTTGATCTCCAGAGGTGTCAGAGTGCTCAGGTCTCCCACGGTTTTGATGTTCTTGGCTCGGATGAGCTGCCCCAGGCCCCTGGCACTGCAGCAGGGGAGGGAAAATGGGTCATTGGTACACAGCCAGGGAATATCCCGAGCTGGAAGGGACCCACAGGACCACCAATCCAACTCCTGGCTCTGCACAAACTCTCCATCCCTGGGGAGATTTTCAAGCATCAAAAAAGTACTTGAAGAGTGCCAAAATAGTTAAGTCTCCTCCTCACCCAACCAATCCCAATCACTTGTAAGAATTCTGACTAAAACAGTGGTTTGGTAGGTTTGTAAGAGCTCAGTTTCTACTGAAATGTCACCTTCAGAAGCAAGAAGCCACTGACCAGATGTTGGATGTGATCTGAGGTAAAATTACATCCACAGGGGCTTTGCAGCCAGCCAAGGCAGGGTACACGAACTCCGAAAGGCACGGCAGAGATTCCTTGGCCATTTCTGTGATCTGGGATAACACAGGCAAAGTATTAAATTAACTGCCACACACTGAATACAGGGAAAAAAATAGAAGAGAAACAAGAACCAAAGCACTTCTTACTAAACACTTCTTTGAGCTCTTAAATTTAAGGGTACGAGATCCTGGGGACAGAAATCCTTTGGTTGGAGTGGTAATGTGCTGGATAGAAAAAGAGGAAAAAAATATCTCAGGGTGCTAGAATTTAGTCAATGGTAGGATTTCAGTTAACAGTAGGAATTCAGTTAATAGTGAGATTTTAGCCCCTGAAACCTCAGAGTCCCCTGGAGTTCAGAGTAACAGAATGAATCAGGCTAAAGCAGTTTTGTTTCTTACACTTCAGATCCTCAGCCCTTACAACTGTGTGTAAGTGACTACAAACATGCACCAAAGCCGTGCTATTTATGATCAGCACACAGCTACTTGGGACACACAGAACATTGTAACAGGATTTACCCTCACCTGCATGTTAGAGAGGATTTTAAGGCTCCTGGAGGAGGGTGAGGAATGGGATCTGATGACAGGACTCCTCCTGTCGATGTCGTCTGCCAGGCCCTCCTGAAAAATGGGATTTGCAAAAGACACTCGGCGGATCTGAGGAGGAGAGAAGGAGGTTTTAGAGTGGCAACTCAACCCAGCACAGCTTGGTGAAAACACAGAGGAGACAACCAAAAAGCAGTTTGGAATCACTGAAGTTCTTGAAGGACCCAGGGAATGTTTCAGCCAAAGACAGACTCTGAGGATTCCCTAAGGAATCTCCATTTACAACCCTGAGCACGCTGCTCCTGGTTTTGCAGTGATGCAGGGTGCTCTGTTTCACAGTAAAACCCCTCACAACACAAATCTGTCAGTGCTGGCAAGTTCCAAACCCAAACCTCACCGTTTCTGTAAGATTATTCACAACAGAAGGCAGGAATTGAACAGATTTGGAATGGTTTCAGTTCCTCACCCCAGCTGTGCAGCAGCAGCACCCAGTTCCTATGGAATACCTTATTGGCAGGTGACAGGGAATCGTCCTCCTGGCTCCTCTTGACCCCTCTCTTGAGGATGCTGGTGGATGGGGAGGCTGAGGGGGACCAGGTGCAGCGGGCCTGGAGGCTGGTGGGGCTTTCAGCCACCTGCACCGAGGGATCCCCGTCCACCTTCAGAGGGGAATCCACACCCACATCTGCCACGGCCACGCTTTCAGGCACTTTTATTTCAGCTTCCACCAATTCATCCTTCATCTCTTGATCTGCAACAACACAAGCTTCTCCAGCAGAGTTCTCAGCTTCTCCTTTTTCCTCCCGATTTCCTTCTAGCTCCTGCATCTCTTTTTCCTCAGATTTGCTGTCAACACTCAGCTCCTCAGGCACCTCCTCCAGTTGTCCGTTTTCATTGATTTCCTCCTTTTCTGCAGCTGTTGGTTTTTCCTCTTGGTCCCCTGAGTCCAGGCAGCTCTCCCTGGGCTCCCCAGGAACACTCTCAGACAGAACCTGCTCTGTTTGCTCCTTCTGCTCAGCAGGTTCCTTTATTTCCTCCATGGACTCAGTGGTTTCAGCTGCTGAACCCTCTGGATTCTCCTCCTCCAGCCCCACACTGCTTCCCTGCAGGTTTTCCACATCCATTTCCTGCCTTTCCAAGCTGAAGGTGTTGGGTTCCTCAGGAGGGTGCAATGGAGTGCTCATCCCACATGGAGCCAGGGCCAAGCTCTCCTCCAAATCTGAGTGACCAGAAACAGTCCCAGGGCTCTGAACTGGGGTGCTCTCAGGCTCCTCCAGCTCAGAATCTTTCTCTTTTTTTGACTCAGTCACCTTTGATTCAGTCACCTGCTGCTTTGGCTTTTTAAAGCAGCAATCACAGCTCTTGATCTTCTTCACCCTTTTGCTTCTCTTGTTCTGGCACTCACTTTGCAGAGAGGAGGGCTCAGCACCTGCAACATTTGCTGCAGGTGCACAGTCCCCTGTGCTGCTTTGCTTCTCCTCTCTGCTCTCCTCTGCTGCTCTCCCATCCTGCTCAGACACACAGGGGCTGCCCATTGACTCCATGGATGCATCTCCCTTGTGCTGCTCCACGCTGGTGTCCTGCAGAGCCTCTGGATTCTCAGAGCTGCCAGAGCCCACAGCTTCTCCAGCAGCTGCAGCATTTTCCTGCTTTTCCAGGCCACCTGGCTCAGCTGGCACTGCAGCACCTGTGCTGACCTCAGGCTCACCTTTAGTGGCCTCCAGGGGACTCTTAGTTTCGTCTCCCTGGGCAGATCCCTCAAGGCTCTGGCTCCCTGCCTGTCCCTCTTTCAATTTACCTTCAAGAGAATTGCTTCTGCTCCTCAATTTCATGGTTTTTCTCTTCTTTGTGCTCTCCTCCTTGCCCTCAGAGCTGTCAGCCTCGGAGTTTTCTATGCTGGACAGCAACCCTTGGGAAGATCTCCTGGTGTGGTAGCGTGGGCGTTCCACCTTCTGCCCTGCTGAGCTGAGGCTGCCCTGAGCTTCCCCCTCTGGCCTGGGGGAATCCTCTGCCCTCCTGGCAGCCCTGCTGCCCTCCTCATCCAGGCCCCTGCAAGCAGGAGAGTCCTTGGAGCTCCAGTCCTCTGCCCCTCTCTCAGGCTGGCTGCTCGCTTTTGTGCTTTCTGTCGTTTTGCCAGGAATTCCTTTCTGCTTTTGGGATCCATCACCTTTCCCCTGGGACAGCCTCTTCTGCCCAGCTTTCTCCTCCTCTTTCCTCCTGTCTCTCTTGGGGAGCCCATCCTCCTTCTCCTGGCTGCCCGAGGGGCTCTCCGCAGCGTCCGACCGTCTCCTGGAGGAGCGCCGCAGCTGCTTCTGGTGAGGGGACACTTGTGGCACCTGGCTGTCATCCCCTGGGGCCTGCTCAGAGCAGCTGCTGCTCTCTGGGGGGGTGTTTTCCTTCGAGTCCGTGTCCAGCCTCCGGGCCTTGTCCAATTCTGCGATGGCAACCTCGGCATTTTGGATGTCTGCCTCCGAGGAGAGCAGCGCCCGGGAGTGGCTGTGCAGGACGTGATCCACATCCTCCCCTGCAGAGCCCAGCTCAGCACTGCTCTCCAGGCTGTCAGGGGCCAGGGACTCCTCTGCCCTGCTCAGCAGTCTGGATTTGCTGCCCTGCAGCTCCAGCCGGCTCTGCCGCCGCGTCACCCTGCGGGTGAGTGCAGCTCCCGCGGCGGGCTCGGCTTTCGGGGGGTTTTTCTCCTCCTCTCCAGATTTCTCTGCCTTAGCAGCAGCCTTGCTGCCACTGCTGCTCTCCTGCGTGGCTGCCTCAGGAGCACTCCCAGGCAGCTCTGGCACGGAGCTCAGCGGGGCTGGGCTGAAGGCTCTGCTCTCTGCAGCCCCGAATTTCTCCAGGGTGATGAAGGACTGGCGCCGGCTCACGGGCTGGGGGGTGCCAGAGATGATGTCACTGGAGGCTGAGCTGCTGGTGACATCTGAGGTGTCCTCCTGCCCTGCTGAGGCCTCCTGGGCAGCTGCTTCCACAGAACTTGTCTCCAATCCCTCTGCAGCAGATGTTTCCTCTGGGATCATCTCGGCTGTCTCCTCTGAGATCATCTCGGCTGTCTCCTCTGGGATCACCTCGGCTGTCTCCTCTGGGATCATCTGGGCTGTCTCCTCTGGGATCATCTCAGCTGTCTCCTCTGGGATCATCTGGGCTGTCTCCTCTGGGATCATCTGGGCTGTCTCCTCTGGGATCACCTGGACTGTCTCCTCTGGGATCACCTGGGCTGTCTCCTCTGGGATCATCTGGGCTGTCTCCTCTGGGATCACCTGGGTTGTCTCCTCTGGGATCATCTGGGCTGTCTCCTCTGGGATCACCTGGGCTGTCTCCTCTGGGATCACCTCGGCTGTCTCCTTTTTGGCCTCCCCCTCGCTGCTGCAGGCTGGGCTCTCCTCTGAGCCACATTCTTCACTCCCCACATTTTCCTCCTGTCCCAAAAACATCAACAGCAAAAGGTTTGGCCTAGGAATCAAATGGAATAGTTGTACTTGTCCTGTGAATATAATACAATAGTCAACTGCAGTGCTGGTGCAATAGAAAACAGCACACCCACAAGGTTTTTCTAACCACCCTTCCTCCAAATGATTTATTATCTGTGTTTTGACAGTTATAAAAGACACTTTTAAAAACCATTTAATCCCAAAACAAAGAACTCCAAAAATGCTTGAAGTTCTGCTGTATTTCACCTGGTCTGACTGGCACTGCAGTCAGCACAGCAGCTGTTCAGGCAATTCCTCCCCAGAAGCAATTCAGCATTTACAATCTTTACCCCAGTAAAAAATACTGTGGCAGCACAGGCACATGGGTGACCAAAAACTGCTCACATAGATCCTCCCATTCTGAAATCAAATACCCAGTGATTTAGCCTAAATGATATTCTAATCAATCCCAAAGGAATAAATTACATAAAGCAGAACACAGCTCTGCAATGGTGTTCAAATTTTCTCTCACTTGGTGTTGAGAATGGAAAACAAATCACAAAACCTCTCACATTTGGCAGAAACTCTGATTTTTGTCACCATCAGACAATGGGAAATTACCTGAGGTTGGTTTGCAGTGTCTTCTTTGGCATTTTCTACTGCAGGTGGCATTTCCCTAGAAGAGAATTACTGAAATCAGTAATTGCTGTTGCCAAAGGAGAACCCTTCAATGACCACAACTGGGCACTTCTACTCACAAAGAATCTTCCTGGCTCTGGCTGTACTGGGAAAATGAGGTGGTGTCCTGGGAGACATCCAGGTTGTTGTACATGGCAGGAATGTCAGCTCTGGAACAACACCAGGAACGGGAGTCAGACTCCTCTTTGGAATTTATTGTCTCCTTGTTTCAGGGCTATTCTTTTCAGCTGCATTAAATATTTATTTCTGGGGAATCAAAGCTGTGACTGGGATCCCACTCTGCAAAGAATTCCCCACATCCCAGAGGAGTTCCTGCCTCAAGCCCTGCTTACACTGCTTTTGCTGCCTAAGCACAGAAAACACACCAATATTATCTTCTCACATTAAAAGAGATTATTCTAAAGATTCTTCTGCAATTGAGATGAGACTTGGGAATATCCTAATGCCTGACGTGCTGCTAAGTCAAGAAATCCTTTCCTCAGATTGTTTTACCCAATCCTTTCATTTCCATGATTTATGAAAAATGACATTTTTATTTCACACTGCATGTCAGTCCCCAAGCAAAAACCTGAACTCCAAATTCCCAAACTCTAATCAGACTAGAGAGAGTGTATTTAATACAGAGAGGAAATGCCATTGCAAGAATAATTTGGTTGCTTTTAAACAGCAAAGCAAGGAACTCTCTTAGCTTTAAACTTCATAACTTGTATGGAAGAACATTAATCAATTACCTATGGTGGTGGAGAAACAGGAATTAAGGCAAGCTCAGCTACTCAAGGAATGACATTTCACATTAAGGTTAAAACAATAAATGACAGACCTCTTTGACCTAAGCACTTCTTTCTGATGTTCTGTCAATATTCTTGGTTTTGTTTCTGGAGGAATGAACACAAAATCAACAGATTTCTCCTCTTCCAGAAGTGTCTCACTTGTTGTCTTAGGAGATGAAAATTCTAATTTTAACTGCAGAAAGATAAAAATCCCAAATCCTGGGTTAGGAACGAGAGAGGAACTGAAAATCAGGAATTTCTGAGGGACATGACCCATCTCTGTGAGGGATCTGCCAACCCCAACGCACACAAAAAAACCCAAATCTGTCACAGCCTCCACAGAGTGAGGATGGAGGCTCTTTTCTGCCACCCTCCCACCCAGCCTGACCCCTGCCCAAAACTCAGCAGAGAATTCTGACAGAATATTAACTCTGACTCTGCTGGGCAGCCCAGGTTAGAAATAAAAACATTTCAGCATCCCCAAAGTCCTGAAAAGATCCTGAATTTGATTTGATTCCTCTCTGGGAACACTTCACCTTGGCAGGTGTTGCTTGCACGTTGCTGGACTTGTCTTTGCCATCACTTTTGGGTTCACTCGTCTGTGCCAGAATTGAATCTCGTTTCTGTCCCACCTTCACCTCCATCCCACTGATCTTTGTATCCAGCTGGGAATTCTCCATCTGTTCACACAAAACCACACTGAATGCACCGTGGGGAGAAACTCCCAAGCTCACAAACCCACTCTGTGGTCATTTCTAGAATAAAACCATCCCACACTCGCAAATTGCCTGTAAACTATGTAGAGGACAACTTAAAAAATTAAATATATCAAATAAATTCCTAGAAATCAAAATTTACTGTGCAGGAAGTGGTAAAAACCAGCAGAGTCTTTTGACAGTGCTAACCCAGCAGTTTATCATCCTAAATATGAAACCATTGCAGGTCAAACAGATTAAAAATCTCAGCTGACCTTTCACTCCCTGCTGAACAATTCCCATGAAATCCCAACAAAACATTTACCAGGTCAGAGAAGGGGCCACTGCACTCCTCAGACAACTCAATGCTTTCAAAACCAGGCAGCAGCAGAGGGATTTTCTTTTTGGCTTGGCTTAACACAGACCTGCTCAGCAACAAAAAATAAAAAAACATTTTAGATTTATGGGAGGGGGAAAGGTGCAGAAAAGGAGCAACAGCAAAAAAAATAAAGAAGTTTTAGATTTATGGGAGGGGGAAAGGTGCAGAAAAAGAGCAGGAGCAAGAAATAAAAAACCATTTTAGATTTATGGGAGGGGGAAAGGTGCAGAGAAAAAGCAGCAGCAAAAAAGTTTTAGATTTTATGGGAGGGGGAAAGGTGCAGAAAAAGTTTTTTTATTTTTTGCTGCTGCTCTTTTTCATTTATGGGAGGGGGGAAGGTGCAGAAAAAGAGCAGCAGCTCACAATAAAAGCAGCCCCAGCTGGCACAAGGAACCAGAATGGCACAACACAGCTTGTGAGCTCTTGCTGTGCAGGTATCAGTGGCAAAAATGAGATTCTTACTTGAGTTGCTCAGGGTAGGTGAGGGAGGAGGCCTTGGCAAAGGTGCAGTTCCAGAGCTGGGCGCTCTGCTGGCGGATCTGTTTGCTCCTGTGCTGGAAGGCCACGCACAGCATGGGGCTGAGCTGCTGCAGGAGCTCAGAGTCACAGGAGCCCGGGCAGTGGCACTGCAGGCACTGCAGGATCTCTGCCAGCAGCTTCTCCAACTCAGGGAAAACAAAATACAGCTTTTAGAACGGGAATCTTCAACTAAAATCTGCAATATTTGAATTATACCTTTATTTTCGACTTTATTTTTGCAGCTCACATTTTTTATTTTTTTTTTTTTAACACAGAAGAAATGGCAGAACTCTGCTGTCCCACATCTCCCCCAAGCCCAGTGATTTCTGTAGCAAATTTACCTTGTTGTTCAGGTTGCTGTAGACTTTGGGTACCTCAGGGAGCCTGCCAAAACAAATATAAATTATTTCTATTTTGCTGTCTCATTTATCCCAAGCATAAAAATTTAGCACATAATAAATTCCAGCCCTGCACACTGGTTTTAGTGAGTAACTTGGTGGAATCACTATGTGAAATGAGCCTCAGTTGGGGATTAAAGAATTTCCTGATGGAATTTCCCAGATCATCCTTTAAATTCCATGGATACTGCAATGCTGACTTCAGGAGAAATTAATGGAAAAGTCAGTGGTAATTAGTACAAATTTAATTTAAAATAAAAGCTTTTCTTATAAATTAACTTCTAATTGCACTCTAAATGCTCTCCTTAAACACATTTCCCAGGCCCCATAAGCATTTGCATTAAAAAGCTGAAGTACCACTAAGCAATTCCATAAACTAAACAATTCCATATAAATAAATAAATATATTCCATATAGATAAATATATTCTATGTACAAAAAATCCTTAGGTGAAATTAGGCAGAAAAATGTGAGCAAACTCCATTTTTTGAACTCATTTTATAAGCCTGTGACCTCCAAGTTGAAGAAGTTCCCAAATATTTTTTTTGCTTCAAATGTCTTCCTTCAAAAATATTTATCCAACTTCTCTTTTTTCAGGAATAAAACTTCAAAGAATGATGGGCTCAGAAAAAAATATTTTCCATTTCTTATGAATAAATGCAAGGAAAACAATGCTCAGGAAAAAAGCACCAAGCAAAGTTTGTCCCAGTATTTCCTTCTGCTTAAAAACTTCCAGGATTTCAGTGCACATCAAGAAATTGTTGTTAAATTCCTTGACAATTTAATGCAAATTTTATTTTTTCCTAAAATTTTATTTATTTCTATCAATAAATATCTTCACTGCAGGGCAAATTACCAGCAGGTGGAAAGTAAATTTTGAAGCCTTGCAGAGATGCTTAGAGAGTCACTCTGAAGTGCTGCCCTGGTTTTAAAAAGTGTTAGATTTTCTTTTATAATTCTGTAAAAAGTTTTAAAGTTCTCATAAAACTTCTTTAGCCTTCTGATAGATAATGTTTGCATATTTGAGAGTCAAGAGTTCCCACACAATTTCATGGATAAATATAATATTTACAGATTTCTCTGTGGGTGGAGAGGAATGATTGATTAATCTTTGGAGTAGTGTGGTTGGAGAGGTGGTAATTCCAATCCACCAGAAAACCAGGAAGGTTTCCAATCCACCAGAAACAAAAATCAAGCAGCAAAATATCAACAATGACAGAAAAAAACACCCCTGGTGTTGGGGACAACAAAGAAACAACTTTTAATTATAGGTGGGTGAAGTTATGCATGATCAGGTCAGACTGATAAAAATTCCATTTTAAATACACATCTACAATGAGGATAAGCTTTATAATAAATAATTTTAAATAATTAGTCCAATAATTAACATAAACAGTGCCTGAAGTAGCAAACAGTGGGAGAAGGGGTCACATTTAGGAAAATTCAATAAAATTAAGGTTCAAGGCTCACTGTGTGCTCAAGGACAAAGCCTCGTTGCCAGAAAAGTAACTCCAGGCACAACAATTAAGTTGCCATTAACAGTCAAAGCAAAAATGTTTTTCTGTGCATAGAAAAGATTATCAAAGCTGCTTTTTCCCCCCACTCAACCCATCCAGATTTTCCTAAATATGGTCAAACTTGCTTTAAAAGTAACACTGGTATTGTGAGGTGAAAGAAGCTGCAATATAACTTCTCACTGAACTTTTAAATTGTGTTGTTTAGTAATTACTGATTTTTAAGTGATATTTATCACTTATTTATTTATCAGGATACAGCAAAGAAATTCCAGCTGTTGGAATAAAACTGGCTCTTTTTCTCTTTTGAACTTCCCAAGCTCTGTGCTGATTTTGTGTCCAACAGTGACACCGAAGAGATGAAAATTCAGAACGTGGAGCTTTTATCATCCCACCCAACCCCAGCTTTTATCAAGCCTTGAGCTTTGTCCCACCCGACTCGAGAGTTTTTTCCCACCCCAAATTCCCATTCCCTGGGGAACACTGACTTGGTTTTCTCATAGAAGACTGCCAAGGGCTGGGAGAAGGTGGCCAGGGTGGTGCCGAGGAGGGAGGGCAGCGAGATGTGGGTGACCAGGGCGTGCAGGGCGGCCAGCAGGGACAGCCCCAGGGGCTCTGCCTGCAGCTCCGAGCTGCCCAGCTCGTGGAACGAGTTCAGCAGCAGCAGCAGCAGCTTGAACAGAGAGCTCAGCTTGCCAAGGGGCTCCTTCTTCTTCTTAGCCCAGTCCGTGGGAGTCTGCGGAGCTGATGGGCAAAGAGGCAGGAAAAAATATTTTTTTTTTTCTTAAGCGACACCAAAAAACAGCTGAACATTGAGTATTATGAAAGGAAGAACTCTGTTCCCAAACTAAATCTGTATACGAGTTTAAAAACTAATTTAACAACTTAAACATATTTTTAGTGCATGATTTTATCTGATTTCTGTTCTTCTTATTTCTATTTCTGGCTGGTCAGACTCTGCTTTTAAGGTTTTAATGGCTACTCAAAAATAAACCACCACTCCCCAGATAGCACAAATTTTGGAACAGTGAAAAGGAGGGAAGGTGAAATATAATTTTTATTAGTTTATTTATTTGGAAGTCAAGTTTACATTATGTTCTTCCTCATCAACATTTCCAATTAAAGCATTTCATTGTTCAGCAGCCCATCACTGCATTTTACCACTTTAACAAATTCCCATGGGGCAAGTAAAATTTAACCACTTCTTTACTGAATTATGCTTTTTTGGAAATTATTTCTTCAGCTTTAACAGTTTAAGTGGGAATAGGACACAGAGAATATTTTATACACAATGACCCTGTGTCTTCTGCTAAACTCTAATTTTTAGCCAACTCTCAAAGCCACACACAGAAACCCCAAAATTTAAGGATTTCCTTACATCTGTTTTTGGGCTGGAATTTAGTGCCATAGGGTGCAAAGTTGATGCAGTCAACCATGACTGACACAAGGTGGGTGAGACCTTCCAGCATGGGAAACACCTGAGGAGGAAACAGAAAGAAAAATCAATCAGCAAAACCTAAAAACCAACAGCAAAACCAGAAGTCAAGCAGCAGAAACAAAAATCAAGCAGCAAAATATCAACAATGACAAAAAAACACCCTTGGTGTTCGGGATAGCAAAGAAACAACTTTTAATTAAAGGTGGGTGAAGCTGTTCTGCATGATCAGGTCAGCCTGATAAAATTCCATTTTAAACACATTTACACTGAGGATGGGCTTTATAATAATTAATTTAAAATAATTAATCTAAAAATTAACATAAACAGTGCCTAAAGCAGCAAACAGTGGTAGGCAGAAGGGGTCACATTTAGGAGAAATCAATAAAATTAAGGTGCAAGGCTCACTGTGTGCTCCAGGACAAAGCCTCATTGCCAGAAAAGTCATTACAGTTGCCATTAATAGTCAAAGCACAAATCATTTTTTATGCATAGAAAAGATGATCAAAGCTGTTTTTTTTCCCCTCTTAATCCATCCAAATTTTCCTAAATATGGTCAAACTTGCTTTAAAAGGAACACTGACATTGTGAGCTAAAAGAAGCTACAATATTTCTTCTCACTGAACTTTTATATTGTTTGTCATGTTTAGTAATTACTGCTTTTTAAGTGATATTTATCACTTATTTATCAGGATACAGCAGCATCCAAGGTAGGTTACAATGATGCAATGCTCTCAATTACAGGTTTTTAAATTCCATTTTATTTGTGGTTTTCACAGTATTTTTTCCAAAGTGAACTTCATGCATCAAGGATTTTATCCCAAATTAAATGTTCATCCCCTTCCCCTTGTGGTCTGAGTTTGGGAATAGGCAATTTAGGTAACAAAAACACCGATTCTTTCAAAATCTCTCTTTTATACAGCTTTAGGAGTAAAATCCTTAATTTTTAGTGTACAAGGCTGATGGTTCCATGTTCCTCCTTCCCAATGGCAGTGCCTGGGGTTGTGGAATTTATAAACACACTTCACCTGGACAAACCCCAATTACCACCACAATGACACTCATTAACCATTATTAAAAATTACTTAATTAGAAGACATAACTAAAATCTGCTTAACTATTTCAATGTGCAACCTTTATAGTTATTTTTACTCCCTTTTTTCATTTCTCTACCAACTCCTGTCAGTAAAAAATTTTTAAAGCTTCTCACCTGAGCCACTCCACGCTACAGAAATCACCAGATTAGAATTTACAACACACGTACTGAGACCTAATTAAGAAGAGATCTGCTAAATGATCAGTTTTATACTCACTACTGGAGTTTCACCTTCTAGCCCAGATATTATTTTGGCACAAAGTTCTTCACAGCACAGGTTTTCTTCTGCTGTTGCCACCAGAGCAGCGCAGCGAGCAAAAGCTCGATACAGGTCAGACCAAGAGCGCAGCAAGGATTTCAGAGTTGGCTTTAACAGAGACAGAAAAAATTGGTAAATATCAATATCTGTGCACAGAGAAAAACTTGCTTTATGGTTTTTTATTTCTGTCAAAACCTAGGGAATTCTTCAAGGTTTTAAGCTGGAGGTTTAGGGTTTTAAATCCATGGTGTTGTACTGAACCCAAAACCCAGCAGACTGAACCCAAAGTCAGCTCTGAGAGTTCAGGGATTTTATAAATCTCACATTACCTGTGGGAATCCCTGAGTGGGGAAAATGTGGGATACTGGCAGCAACAAAGCACTGTAGACAGCACTGAAGTTGTGTTCCAGGGCATCCCCCTGGTTCACCTCATTATTCTGCAACAAGAAAAGAGATTTATGGTTTAATATGATTCACTCCCATGGGAGCGTGGGGAAGAGAACCAAATTCACTGATTAATGAATTAATTACCTGATTAATCCACTCAGTCAGAGGATGAACAACAATACTCCACATTCTCCAGAGGTGCTCCTTGTTGCCCACCTGCTCTGCACTCTGATCAATGACACCCAGCACAGACTCACTGAACGCCAGGGCAGAGGTGGGCCCAGACAGGGCAGCACCCACCAGGGATTCCAGGATCCCAAAGAATCTGGGGAAGGAAATTCCACAGGTGAGAGAGAGCTGGCTTTTTCCCAGCTGAGAGGGTAATGCTTTTTCTCTTTAAGCCAGGTCTTACAAGCTCTCAGAGATAAGCATTATACCCTTGATAGCTCAGCTACCTCAGGTGCCATAAAAGCAGCAGGATGGCTCCTGTGACAGTGTTGGAAACAGAAAGTTTTAATAAAAGGCAAAATAAAAAAGCTCTTTACAAAGAAAAGCCCAGCCAGGGCATGAGGTTCTTGCTCTTGATAAACCACTTCATAAAAGTGATTACTTCTTTTTTTTTCATTTTTCTAGGGAATTGCTTAGGCAAGACTTTTTGTCTCTTGTCTGATTAGCTATCCTGAAGTTTGAGGTGAAATCCCCGAGGTGCTATGAGGTGTCTTTTAACCAAATTGAGGAGAGAAACTTCTGGGCTTTTGTCCCTTTTAAGGACACAAAGGGTCACCTGTTTACTCCATCAACAGGGGGCACATTCCTACAAGAGGGGAAACAAAAATGGTGTGGTGTTTTCACAGGGATGCTCAAAGCTCCAGGTACCTCTCATCTGTCACACAGCATTCCAGGAGATTGTTGTGGAAGGGCAGCTGGATCAGGAACAGAGCTGGAGTGCCCTGGAAGAGGAATGGGAGAGGTTAAAACAGAAATTCACAATTATTGTTACTGTTGTTAGTCAGAAACTCACAATTATTGTTACTGTTGTTAGCCAGAAACTCACAATTATTGTTACTGTTGTTAGCCAGAAACTCACAATTATTGTTACTATTGTTAGCCAGAAATTCACAATTATTGCTATTATTAGCCAGAAATTCCAATTATTATAACTATTATTAGCCAGAAATTCCAATTATTATAACTATTATTAGCCAGAAATTCCAATTATTATAACTATTATTAGCCAGAAATTCCAATTATTATAACTATTATTAGCCATACATTCCAATTATTATTACTATTATTAGCCATAAATTCCAATTATTATAACTATTATTAGTCATACATTCCAATTATTATAACTATTATTAGCCAGAAATTCACAAGTATTATTACTATTATTAGGCAGAAAGTCACTATTATTAAAAGTTGTCCAAAATTGTCAATTCTAACACTTCAACATCAAAAGAAGAGGGCAAACTGGAAGCCTTAGATGCTGCCAGATCCTGGGATTTGCTCATTTCCAGGTAACAGCAAGAGATCTTTTGGGCAACTTCTGTTCAAATCTATCAGAAATATTTCAGCTTTGCTAATAATGAGAGTACTTAACAAAATGTATTTAATATCTGCTAATTAAAACTTTAACGAGGAGCACACCCCCTCCTACTCAGTCTGCTCCTCCCTAAAAAAACACCAAAATTCAGCAGCATTTCAGACTTTTTTTCACAGCTGTTTTGTGATTGTTGACTAAATATTTTATCTGTTCCCTCCTTCTGATGCAGCACACAAACATGATATTCACTAATCAATATCGGCCCTTTTTGTGCAGACTCGGTTAAATTACTCCACAGAAGTGAGGCCTGCAAACAAAGTCTGCACTTTGGAATATGAAATAATTTGACTTCCAAATAACTTGCAGCATTAACGAAGTCCCAGAATGAATTCAGACTTACATTTAAAAGATCCATATCAGCAACCTGATAAGCTGGGGATCCCAATACTTTTGGAGGCAACTCCTTGACAGTGATTTCAATGAGTGACTAAGCAGGAAAGGGAAAAAATATATTTAAATATATTTTTTCTGAGGGGTCAAATCTTTTAAGCAAAATATTATAAAATTAAAATAAAGTGGGGACAGGGAGACAAAAAAGAAGGGGAGAGGGAGACAAAAAAAGAGAAGGAGGGAAAAAAAGACGCCAAAATTCACAAAAAAAAAAAACCAACAAAAAACCCCCCAAAATACAAAAAAACCACCAAAAATACAAAAATTAAAAAAAAAACGAAATACAAAAAAATTACCAAAAAACCGTCAAAATTACAAAAAATACAAAAAAATTAAGAAAAAATTCCAAGAGCCCCTCAAAAAAACCCCAAAACAACAACAACAAAAAAAAAAAACCACTCCAAAACCTTCCCCCCAAAAATACAAAAATCCCTCCCAAAAAAGTAAAACTGAAACAACTCCCTTCAGTTAAAAAAATAAGAAAAAATCCATGTAGAATGTGTCCAAGATGTTTTTGAAGCACAGGAGAACCACAAACCAAATTCTACACCCAAAAATGCTTTTCCAGCAGAACTTACCAGGATTTTCTGCACGGGCAGGGAATTGGATCTCACAGTGTTTTTTAAGGCCTGCAGTAACATGGTCAGTATTTCTGAACCTTGCTTCTCTTTCTTATTTCCTGCAATAAAAATATTTCCAGTCAGAGCACAATGGTCACTCTGAGCAGCATTCAAACTTTTAGTGCAAAAAGTAAAAAAATTCTGTGGAAATTTGGAAAAATTTACCAAATCCTTCAGAGATTCAAGCTTCAATTCTGCTCATAACAGGAATGAAATTTTGAAGTTTAAATAAAAAACCTTCAAGTTTAATTAGGAAATGGGAACACCTTTGTTTCATTAAGGGTTGGAATTTTGATACATTAAAGTTGTGGAATTTTGTATTCATCAAAAAATGCTTCTTCATGTTCTGTTTGATTTTCAATAAAAGTTTGCATTATTAAGCATATTCTGGACTTTCCTTGGATAAAGGGCATTTTTAAAACAGGAATCAACTTTTATACATCTGCAGACTGTTCCTATGGAACAGAATTTCAATAAAGAAAAAAATGTCAAAAACTTTCATTTTTGTCTCCATTCCTCAGTACTGAAGACTGGAGGAGGGGTTGTTGTTCTTTTGATACGCTTTAAAATAAAACAGAATTATTGATTCAGACTAAACCCAAGCAATGAACAATCAACAATTTCTGGTCTAGTTTAAAAATAAGCCACCTCTGACTGGTGAGCAATGCCAAATTAAAGAAAATTACCATTTTTACCTGCTTCAATTGCTGTTTTCACATATCCATTTATGTCCTTCCAGATAACATTCAGCAAACAATCTGCAAGGCAACAATGGTTTTATTCAGTTTGCAATAAAAACATTCAACAAAACTGCAGCTAAAACAGAAATTGTGTTAAAGAACAGATTTTGATTTAAGCCAAAACTCAAACTTCAATGCAAGTCAGACCAGTTCTAATTTTTATAACATCAGGACTTCCCCCAAAGTGTTGATTCTGTTTCCCTTGCCCACTTGATTTCCCAGAAAATGTTTCAATTTCACCACTGAATTCTTACCAGGAACTTCTTTTCCAATTGCAATAAAGCCATCCTGAACAGCATTTATCAGAGTGCTGGCATGCTTACAAAAAAAAGAAGGGCTACTGATCAGTGGGTACTGGAGAGGCTCTACAAGAACAAAAAAACACATTCCATAAACCTGTTAACTTTGCAGTTTACTGGGAAAATAAGCCTTAAAAATAATCAAGTATTTGTGTATTCACAGCATTTTGAACATAGTAAATATCTTAAAGCTGACAACATGTAAAAGTTTAAATCATTTCATTCTAACATACATGATTTGAGATTACACAAGTGTATTTTTTACAATTAAATATATATGTAAAACTCACATACCTAAGCTAAGCACGAGCTTGTTTTGCTTAGCAAAATCCACAACTTGTGGTCCCATGAGGAAGTGGAGCAGCATTTCCATGCCCAGGAGCTGGATGGAAGGGAAGAGCAGCACTCCTGCTGTGCTGCTGTTCAGGCCCATCCTGGGTGTGCCCGGGCTCACAAACAGGAAAGGACCTGAGGGAGGGCACAGAAATCAGGGGAAAATCACAGAAATTCCAGGCAAAAGCCCCAAACTCCCCAGGAAAAGGACAAATCATGGAGTGCTTGCTGCTGGCTGGAAGGCATCTCTGACAGGCAGGTTTCTCAGATAACTGGGGTTTGCTATCACAGCCATATTTTTCCCAGTATTTTAAATATCTGCCCCAAAATTGTAAAATTTTGGAACGCCAAATTTTATTTTGGCCATACAAATCTCCTGGAAGCTGTGGTTACACAACCAAGGAACACTTGCATAAATCTGCTGCTACAAAGCAGTTTCTACTGGAAACTGTCACCTGGAACACAAATTTAAGAGGTCTTGGCAAAATATTTTGACCAACTCAGCTGTGATCTCACAGGACTAAGATGAAATTTTTTTAAGAAGGGAAAACAGGAAACTCCCCAAATCCAGGATCCCTGAGGCTCCTGATTACAGCACAACAGGATGGCACAAACCATGGATGCCAGGCTTCCAGAAAGGGAAATAAAACCAGGATTTCCTTACTGGATATTTGGATATAAAGCTCAAATAGATGTGTTTTCACATGTGATTAAAGTATTAAAATTCCTGATGGATCATCATCACTGGGCAGGATAAGGTGGGATATTGGGAAGGAATTCCTGGCTGGGAGGATCTGCCCATCCCTGTGAGTGCCCAGGCTGGACAGGGCCTGGGATAGTGGAAGGTGTCCCTGGATGAGCTTTAAGGTCCTTTCCAACCCAAACCATTCCAAGGTTCTCCACTATTCAGGTAGAAACTAAAAATGCTACAGAAATAAAAGGGCACATAGAAATAGCACATACACTCACAGATGAAAAAATAAACATTTCAAACCAGAGCTCCCTTGCAACACAGAACACAATTCAGGACATTAAAACTGGTCCTCAAACTGTGACTGGCACAACCTTTTAAATTTTAAGTAATGACTGAAACAGCCTCACTTTCCCAATATAAATCATGCAGTGACCATGCAGAAAAATCACTGTTCTGGAGAACAAGGACTATGAATGAAAAAGCAGAACATGACAAACAGAAGAGATGAGTCTCTGCATGTGAAATGGAGCTGGAAATTCCCCCGGGTGGATGTTTCAGTACCTGATTTCTGCCCAGAGGGTGCTGAGCCCAGGCTGGGGTTGTTTGGCCGCGAGGGCGTTCCTGGGAATGCAGCAGCAGGATCCACACTCAGGGTGCTTTGGATTAATGGCACACAAACCTGCAAAGGGATCCCAGCAACAGCTACAGCACATGCAAGCCATGAAATGCTCATTTCACTCAGCACAGGCTGGGCTGCTGTTCACAAAGCAGAGTTTCTGGGCATTTAGAATGAATTAGAAATGTCTAATCAAACAAAAATTCCTGGTGGATGCAGGATATTTTAATAAGCCTAAGAAAATACTTTTCCCTCCCTTTACTCCCATCTTGAAGATTAATTTAAGGAAATCCAGGTGTTGAATAGAAACAGGTCCATTCCACTTGCAGTGTGACTAGAGATGAAACACCTGCATAATTTTTCTATCTTCCTAAATATTTATGGTCTTGTCACCAGTATTCCTATGGCAGCTTTTTCCAAGCCCACACTTCCTTGGTGAAAGTAGACAAAAGCCTTTATTTAACACATTTATAACCCCTGACTGCACTCAGGGCAGGTTTTCAGAGATGCTCTCAGGACATTCCCACAGACTCTCCAATATTTTGGGCCTGTGAGTCCCAAATATCCCTTCTCACAGTCTGTAAGTCACACAAGAGGACAAACTGGTTCCTTGAGGGAGTTTGATTTCAGTAACAAAGCAGAGAGGGAGGAAGCAGGAACATTTTCCAGAGCTCAGAGGGGCCTGGGCTGCACAGGGATCGGGACTCTTGGCACCTGTGTTACCTGTTCAAAGTTGGAGGGCAGGTGAGGTCCCAGTCTCATCAGCAAATACCACCACACTTCTAGCTTGGTCAGGGCCAGAGCCTCTGTCCTCACGTGGATGGAGCTCAGGGGCTGCATCAGCAGTTTCAGCCTCTTAGCACTGCACAGGATGTCTGGGAGACCCAAAAAGTGCATTTTAAACAATTCACATTACTGAAACACAGCTCAGCAAAATTCAATTAAACCATTATGTTTTTATCCCAATATCTTTTAGCTTCAAATTCAATTAACAGCAATTTGCAAAACTGAACCACACCAACCTTTCAAAGTCTCTTACTGCTCTAATTATTGCTTAAAGCAACTCTGCAAAAATCAAGTATTTCTTTTCAACACAAAGACTGAAATTGAATTTTCTGCATTCCAACCTGACCCCACTGGAGAAGGGAGGCTGAATTCAACCTGACCCACTTTGGGATTCTGTGATAAACAGAAAAAACTCCCTCTTGCTTGCTGTTAGGTCCTATCTGCTCCAGGGACAGGAAAATCAAACACTGAGTTTTCCCTTCACAACACAGAGAAGCACAATCAAGGTAAAAAACATTGTATTTTGACACAAGGTAGACTAAAAACTTGTCCAGATTCAGGTTACACCTTTAAAACAACTTTTTTTTTTAAAAACCTCTGGAATCCTGAAGTGTTGCCTTTCTCCACTTAAGCCATCACCATCCAAAATAAAATATACAGAATGTTTTATTCTCTGTTTCACTGCTGTTTGGATCATTTATAGCACTACAAAACACAATTTACTAGCTTTATTCTATTTCTAGCATTCCCAGCAGAAAAAAATAGGATAGAACAAAAGATCAAACTATCACCTTGCCTCAAAAAGAAAAGAAAACAAGGAAAAAAACAACAAAAATTTGAATTTCAGCTATGCATACAATGAATTTTCCTGCACCATTACGTGGCTATCCAGTGGTACACAAATAAAGCATTGACCACTGACAGATTATTTTTTCCAGTTATGTATTATCACATATTATGTATTTACGTATTAAATTATATATTCCAGTACGTATATTTTTCCAGTTGTGTATGACTCATATTTAAACAAATCAGGCTATTTATTTTTTTTAAACCTACCTGGATTTAGAGCAAAATTATCAATGAGGCTCTTCCATGCAATGAAGGCAATTTTCTTCACCACAGGGGAGCCACTGCGGAAGCCCAGCTCCTCCAGCTGCAGCAGGGAGTTGATGAAGCTGCCGCTGCGATGCAGAGTCTGGGCAGCAAGAAATTCGCAATTAAAGAGAATTCTGCTGCTCAAAACTCCCTTTTCTAAAGTTTTACTCATTTTCTGCTTACCTTTCCAAGCAATCTGACAAACAGGGGCCACAGTTTTAACACGAAGGTCTCGTTTTTGGAAGAAAAGAGTTTCTGAAGTTCGGAAATTAATTTCTGCAGACAGAAAGAAACAGGATTTCTACCAGAAATGGGATTTTAAATATTCTAAAAACTACACACTCATACCAATGTCTGGGGACACAACCAACAGACAAGATTTGAGATTATGCAAATATATTTTTTACAATTAAATATATATAAAACTCATATACCTAAACTAAGCACGAGTTTGTTTTGCTTAGCAAAACCCACAACTTGTGGTGCCATGAGGAAGTGGAGCAGCATTTCTGATGTTTCTACATCAGATTTCATTCTGTACCACACAGCATTTGTTACCACCTGATTCTCTTTTTAGCTGAAATTTGGGGCTCTTATTCTGACAGTGGCAACCAACAAAGCAAAATCCACGTCTTCAATTATTTGCATTTCCTCCAACTCCAAAATCAAAACATGCCCTGACCCACCTTGTTTGGGTGAGTTTTTCAGCAGAAAATAAAGCAAAATAAATGAGCCAAGTAAGGCCAGCCCTGGAAGTGAAGTGGAACATGAAAATCTTCATCAAAGACACCTGGATGAGGACTCTGAAAGGGAGTGGAAAATGCCAAGCATCCTCTGCTTTCCTGCCTCCCTCAGGCCTCCAAATTGTGCCTCCCATCCCCTTTGTTGCTGGGCACTTTTTTGCAGTGGTCCTGCATTTACATTTCCTTTATATTTTTCCCCCACCAAAACCACTGGCATCAAGAAGTTGCTGTCAATGCACAGGAAATGAAATTAATGCTCCCCAACAGCTGCTGCTGAGCAGAGGCCCAGCACTGTCACTCACTGTGGTCATCAGGTGCTCGGTGACAGCTGCCACCTCCTGCTGCTTCTGCAGGAGCAGTGGCATCCCCATCTCCAGGGCAGTGGCACCTCTTAACTGCACTTTGTGAGCTGAGTGGACAACCAGAGGGATGATCAGCTTTGCCCACCTCACAGCCTCTTCTCCCATCTGGGCTGGAACTTGCTCCATTAAGCTGGATAAAAAAAAAAAAAAACCAAAAAAAACCCCAAAAACAGGGATTACAGATCTCCAAAAGCAGCTCAGGCACTCAAGTTATCTTTGTATCACCAATAAATGCTCTAATTCAATCCAGGATTTATAGAAAACCATCCCAAATTTTTAAAATCGATTGTATTAGAAGTGCAAATTTCAAGTGTTATCTCAGATAAACCTCTCCAAAACACAACAGCCTGACTTGAGAGCTGTGCTTTCTGTTTTAGCACAGCAATCTGGGCACAGGAGCTCAGAGCCTGACAGGAATGCACAATGCCCAAGGAAAGTTTGGCCATGAACCATCCCTGGGAGTTCCCAGGAGCCCAGGCACTCCCACACAGCTGGGAAGAACTCCCAGCAGCTTCTGGAAAAATCCCAAGCCAGGTTTGGACAGGCTCCATGAACACTGGCCTGGTCAGAACTCTGAGTTTATCCTCCTAGGCCCAAAATTCCACACATTTCCACCATCCCACCCACACCAAAAAACGTGCAGAAATGGGAATATCTGGCATGTATTCAAACTAGCCTGAATCTAGAAATCCTGGAATTTTGTCAAGTCCCCCTTTTCCCCAGGAAAATCAAATCCCCATCCCTACAGTTTATGGAGAATTGCTGCACTAAAGAAAAGTTCTGCCTTTCAAGTCATTTTATTAAAGTCAGAGGACAAGAACTGTTTGAAATGGATTTGCAGCTCAAAAGTTTAAGAGAAAACTTAAAAAGGAATAAAAATAAAAGCTCAATGTATTTACTAAAACAGAAATTAAATTAGCACTAAGTAAAGATAAAACGTGACTATTTCAGTTCTGCTGACCACAACGTGCTCACAGTGATGGTCCTAAAAAGTCATTTTTGGAATTAGACAGGAATTCTAACAGTGTTATGGGAAGCATTGCACTAAAATGTGTTGTCAAGGGGATATTTCTAAATAAGATATTTTTAAATAAACCCCCAAATAACAGCAGAGAATTTCTCAAGCAGGCAGGTTCTGGAAACAAAATGTAAGAACATGACTTGGGAAGCACAGATGAGAGGTTGGAAATAATTCCTGAAGAGTCATTAAAAATGAAAGCAATATTGACTAAATTCTGCATCAGAATGATGACATGATTATTAAAGTAATATTTTAATTAATTCTAATACACAAAACAAGTGTTGCACAGCCCAGCAGCTCCCCAGTTCAGCCCTGGACACAATTCCATGGAATATCCCCTGGTCAGCTGGGATCAGCTGTGTCCCCATGTCCTTGACTCAGAGCAAACTCTGCTCAGCAATAATTAAAACACCCCTGGTGTTATCAACACCATTCCCAGCCCAAATCCCACCCACAGCTCTCAGCAACCACCTCCAGCCCAGTCAAAACCAGGGCAACACTGGAGGAAAAGAATCCCTAACAGAAAAAACAACTCAAGCAGCTTTAGGGTTTTTTTCTTTAGTAATTTAGGGCCACTTGGGTCTTATATGCAGAGTTCCCCCACCCAAATAAAGGATGGCAATGGGATATTGCAGAGCACTCACCGTATAATGACATTCAGTGCTTCATATTCAACCACAACTGACTGCACTTCTCCTTTAGTCAGGATTGTTTCCAGGGTGGAGAGAATATTGGACACCTGAGCAAAGAAGAGAACAGCACAGTGAGCACCTGGATACAAATCATTCCAGGAGGAGCTGGAATTGTGGCATTTCATTCTCCAGGATTTGGTTTGGATCATGCCAGGTCTCCTTTTAAACTGGAATATTAACTTTTCTCCCCTGTGATATTTCATTGCTTTCTGTGAAACGTGGATGGAAAATGAAAACCTTACAAATCAATTTTGAATTGCAAAATAAAAACTTTAAAAAGGAGTTGCAGAGCTTATTAGTGTTGGGCACATGTGGAGATTGTTCTCTTTTAAATGACATTTGAAAACTTCTTTGAGAACTTCTCAAAGAACTTATGATCTTTTTTAATTCCTTTTTACTAGTTCCCATATGTACAGAGTTTTACAATAGGCTTATGTATATTTATTCTGTTGATTTTGTGTTACAACTTGTAATTAGTCTTTGTACAGAGAAATTTCTAATTTTTTTGTTTATTTTTTGTAGACTGAGCGTTGGTTTGTTTCTGTTTTAGAGTTCAAGGGGCTTTTTTATCTTTTTAGCTTGGAAAGGGGCCTCTCTTATTTCTTTAATTTGGAGATTTGTATTTTTTTCTTTGGTTGAGGTAGTTTTGTAAGCACAGTAGAGCCAGTAGACTAAACAGGATATTTTACTTATGTTAGCAAGAGATTATTAATTTAAAGTGGCACATTTTACTTAAATCTAAATGGGTTTTCACTTTGTTGAATTTTTACTCTGTTTCCTCTGATAGAACTGCTCACACTGCAGCTTTCCCCTCAAAAGCTCAATAATTTCTGGCTCAGGTTTTCCACGAATTGATACTTTGCAGTGGTCCTGTATTTACATTTTACATATTTTTATTTTGTATTTCCTTTTTTTTTCCTCCACTAAAACCACTGGCATCAAGAAGTTGCTGTCAATGCACAGATGAAATCAAGATTTAGATCAGATCTGATGGGAAATAACCTTTGGATTCAAAAGCGACTGAGTGGAGAGTGACAAAGGATTTGCTTCCTCTCCCTAGGAAAAAACAGCTCCAAAATGAGAAATGCAAACTCACCTTTGCTTTTAACAATTTCTGAAATGAGAAATGTGAGAAATGAGGCCACCAAAGGAACAGTGAAGGGACTCACCTCCTTTTTGACAACTTCTGGAGGAAATGCCTGCTTGGAGATGACCCAAAGTGCCCGAGTGCGAGTGTTCTTGTCTGAGGATTTCACAGCCACGCTGTTCACTGCTGCCAGCAAGTCCTGCATTTCAGAGCCTGAAAGCAGAGCACACAAAATCCTCCTCAACACATTCCAGGTCATTCTGCTCACTTAAGTTTGCCCAGAATCCATTCAGATGCAAGTCACAATGATTTAGTGCCTTAAACAACATTTTGGAGAAGTTTCTCTCCTACTAAAGTAGCCAAAAAGCTAAAAAATGTGTTAATATACAAATACTAATAATGCAGGGCATCTGTATTACCTTTGTAAGAATTCATAAAATTACAGGACAGCTTTAGTTAAATACATCTGAGCTAAATAATTATTCGAAACTTCTTGGATTTTAAGTGAATTTAGCAGCACTTTGATATAAATAAATTTATTTTAGAGCCTACAAGAGGTTTTTGTTATTAAAGGTGGTAAAATTGTAGCTCATTACATAAAAATTAATAAGGTTAATATAGGACTTGGATCCAATTAAGAACACAGATGAAGCAGTCATGTGTTCCTTTAAAATTCAAGGGTAAAAAGTCTGATTTATTGCAAATCTGCACTTTGTGGGTGAATGATCTCACAATCAGGGAAATGGAAGGACACTTTCATTCCTCTCCCCCAGTCAAAAGTACACCCAAAGGTACAGGAGCTGCTTGTCCTCCCTCCCTTTTAAACTCCCCATTGTTTTCAGGGCTTTGTGATTTCTGGAGCCTGACATTCTGTAATAAAATTGTCATTTATCAACTGGTTAAAAAGAAATGAGTTATGAATGAGAGGAAAGAAAGATACCACACAGATATTATGGAAATTTGGGGAAATTTTGCATAACAGGAAAGCAGAAGACACTGAAGAAATGGAGGAGAAGAACAAAATAACCGATTTCAAACAGGAAAAACGCCCTCTCCCCTGATTCCAAAAACCTGTGTTCTTGCCTTGAGGCAAAGCCTCAAGTTCTCAAAACCAAAACCTTTTGTGAAAAGGATTTAGCACTTTCCAGGAATGGAGGTCATAAGATTTTGGATTAATTAGCAATAGTCTGGGCTGGACTAGATGACCTTTAATGGTCTCTTCCAACTCAAAGCACTCCATGGTTTGATGGAACAAAGAAATATCCAAGAAAAAGCAGGAAAATGTTGAAAAGCTCTACTGTGGACCCCCAAATCCTACAAATAGGTTCTTCACTCTTTTCTCACCAGAATATCTTTTTTTGAACACTAATTCCACACAACTAATTACTAATTGCTACCAAAGCATTTAATGAAACTAAAGGCAGTAAAATAGAATTAGTGTACAAAACCTGGCCAAAATTTAAAACAGATGCCAAGAAAAACCTAAAGAAAGAGCCCTGATGTATATATTTATAGTCACAGTTTGATTGCTTACCAGATAATTCAGCTGTGTTGTTTGAATTAAAAGTGCAGAAGCCCAAGGCCTGCAATGCTGCATTACTGAGCTCCAAGTTTGGACTGGAAATGTGTGCCTGGGAAAAAAAAAAAAAAAAAAAAATCCACAGAATCTCAGGTTAGAAAAGCAGCTGAGAAATATTGAGTTTACTGTCTGAATACCAACACTGCTGGGAAGCTGGAAAAAGCAAACATTTGCTGAAAATTCCACCCAGGCAGGAAACCCTCCCTGAATTCTGTTTTTGCTCTCTGTAATAAAAACATCTTCAATGAAATAAATCCCAAACATCCCAAGTTTTTCACTTTGGTTGTGTATGTTATGTTCTCTCACTTGACTCTCCAATTGTTTTTAGGCCTCTAAAACAGAAGGAAAAAATGGCTCAGAACAACCTTTACATTACTCCTTAAAAATCCTTGACATTTTCTGCATATTCTGAAAGGTTTCTAAGGCATCCACACTATCTCTCCTGGCTGGAAGATTAGATTTGACCGTGGTATGCTGCCTGAACACATCCAACACCCAGCACTTTGGTTTTTTCTGCAGTAATTCCTCATGACAAGAGCTGTTTTGTCAAAAAAACTCCTTTCCTGCTCTGCCACTACCTTGCATTCCTATTAAAGGCTGGATTTCACGATTCAGAGTTTTTTTCCTACCTTAATGATTCTGTGACTCTATAAACAAGCTGAAATTTGAGTCTTTCTATGCCCACTGACCTTGCCCACCAAAATATCTTTGTTCCCTGAAGTGTAGGAGAACTGAATGGAACAACCATACCTTGAACACCTTGCAGAGTTGAGGGAAGTGTTTCCTGAAATCTGCAGTGAATGCTTTGGCTCCTTCACCACTCAAGCGACTGCAAGGAGCAGGAGGGAAAACAAACAATATTTACAAGTTCAGGTCATTGTACCTGACTTAACTTTCAACTTCTGACACAGAGCAGCGTATTTTCCTGAAGGAAATCAACAAATCAAAGAGCAAAAATGTCAGCACAGGGTCTGACCCAGCAGCAAAATCCTGTGTTGTAGTACAAAGTGAGCAATGACTCGTTTTCTGCCCAAAGAACACTCAGAAAAACATTAAGGGCTTTCATTTTTTGATCAGCTCCTATAAAAACATTACAATTTAGCATGCAAACTTTAAATGGCTTGCTGCAAATTAGAAAAACAGGAGCTGAAAAAGCACTTTCCTCAGGAGCAGCTCAGAATGCAGGAAAATCCTGGTCTGAGAAGCAGCAAGGATGATTTTGCACGTATGTGAGGAACATTCTTGCAGAAAAGCTGCAATTATCCCATAAAACGTTAATCATCACTGCAAAACCCAAACCGTGCTGAGTTTGGTCGTCCAGGGACAACCTGAGGAACTTGTTGCTGCTGAATACTGGCATCAGAAGGGTTTTTTTGCTGCCAGTTTTTCTAGAAACCTGTAAAATCTAATATGTGAGTACTACAGAGTCGAATTCACTGCAGAACCTTAGGGAGACACTGAGAGAAAGAGGTCGTGCCTTTGCAAATGATAAAATCAGAAAGATGCAGGGAAAGGCACAACCTCATGGGGAAGAAGCACCTTCCAGAAAGAAATGCAATGAAAACAAGGCAAAACCCGAGAAACACCAACTAAAAACTTCACCCTTCCAATCCTAAAGCCGCAGGGCTTTGACATGACAAGAAAGTTGTTGTTAAGTTATTATTTATTATCTTCGCACACCTCTGAGGATGCCCCAGGCAGCCAAGGGGACAGGGAGGCTCTGGGATGCGCAGAGCCTGTGGAGATGCGCTCCTTCCTCCCTCCTCTTCCTCCCCTCGCTCCTCCCTTCCTCCCGTCCCTCCCCCCAGCCCCGCATGTCTCCCCGCGGCCACGCCGGCCGCAGCCCTGCCTCCGGGCTCCCAGAGCAGCACAGCCCCGCTGCCATACCCTCCTGCCTCCCTGCTCCCAGCCAGGGCAGCACAGCCCCGCTGCCATACCCTCCTGCCCCCCTCACTCCCCGAGCCCGGCCCGAGCCCTCAGGCCGCACGGTCAGCGTGCGCGTCCCCCCGCGCTCACCTGACGACGGTGAGGTGCGCGTCCGTCAGCTCTCCCGGTGGCGCGGCGGGGTCCTGCAGGGTGTGGAGCAGCGGGCCGAGGCTGGAGCCGGCGGCGGGGTCGGGATGGGGGCCGGGAGCGCTCATGGCGATGGCGACACCGCCGCCGCCTCCTCCTCCTCCTCCTCCTCCTCCCCCCAGCGCGGCCGCCCCTCACTCAGCGCCGCGCGCCTCCCGCGCTAAGATGGCGGCGGCGCGCGCGGGCGGCGCGCGCGGGCTCCGGCCAATGGCGGCGCGACCCGGGTGTTCCCGCGCGCCCGCCCCTCGCCGCTGATTGGCGGAGGCGCGGCGGGAAAGGCGGGGGCGCGCGAGGGGGCGGGGCCGGCCGGCGCTGAGGGCGCTGAGGGAGCGCGGGTGACGCGAACCCCCTGCACATCCCGGGGTCGGAGAATAACGGCGGAAAAGGGCAAAAAATCCATATCCACCCCCTTACCCTGCCCGAACGTCCCACCCTGAGCATCCCTGAGAGCTCTGGCGGCCTCGGGGCTGCGAGCATTCCGCGGAGAGCCTGGTCAGTGCCAGAGCACGCTCTGCTGGAAAAACCTTTCCTTAATTTCCAACCTAAATGCGCCCTGCCGCAGCTCCGGCCGCTTCCTGGCTCCTCGTCACCAGGTCGGAGCAATAGGTCAGTTCAGGTCGGTCAAATCCCTAATTAATGACTGGAAATGAACTCCAGCTCCGTAGCCGGAATTCCTTGAGCCCCTCTGGGGTTGAAATAGGAAATTCCCGGCCCTGGCAGCGAACCCAAAGGGTTGGAAAGCCCTGCAGGGATCTGTGTTTCCATTAGGAATGGCTGTCCTGGGTTTCTTCCCCAAAAAATATCCCGTGGGGATTCCAGTGTTCCCTGGTTCCCATCCCTATCCATGCAAGATCTGTCGCTTCCCAGTTAAAACAACAAAAACCCCCACCCCGAGGTCATAAATAAAAATAATAACATTCTCCCCATGCTTTTCCTTATTCTCTTCCCCAAGGACAAGCGCTGCTGCTGATGCTGGAAAATGGGAATGCTGTTGTACAACAGGTACTGTGAACACAAGGTGGCAGGATTAAAAAGCACATTTTAAATATAGTTACATCCCAGGAATGTGGGGATGTGAAACTCGTTTCATGGAGCACGAGTAAAGTGTGGGAAATAACCAGGATAGGAGCAATGTTGTTCTCCAGTACAGCCAGAAAACAGGATTATATTCCCAGTGAGATGACAATAAAAGCTCAGGAATGAAATAAATTTAAACCATCGAGAATTAGAAGAAATAAAGCAAAAACGGGGCTGATTAGATCTTAGGATCATCCTTGTGCAAAACTGGGGATTTTTGATGGAATGTCGAATGAGTTGGAGACAGAACCTCTGAGTTTTTTAGATGGTGTGTTTTATTTTCCTTATCTTTTCCACAGGCAGGAAGGGTGAGTTGGGCTCACATCTTCACTGCACGGCTCAGAAGGTCACAAGACCTTTAGTTATAAAATCTTTTTAAAAGTTATTGACCTATAAAACACTGCCAACAAGGATATTTATGGTTGTGAATTAAATATTTTGTCTTACGGACTTGTATATCAGCTTTGTTAGCCAATCATGCTATGACACACAAACCTACAGCGCTGCATTCTGAACTCCTTGTTACCTCTGGAACTACTTTTATTTTTTCTATATCTTAAACTCTAAACCTCTAAACTTTGCTTTTCCTAACTTAAACCATAAATCCACATTCTCACTCCTAGCACCTAAGTTTGGAAACCTTTTCCAAGGTCTCAGCTCAAATCCTGAGTTTAATTCTAACATTTGGCTTACAAGCTCAAAGTTCTGAGAGTTCCCTGCATTTCGGATTCCAACAAAAACCATTCCTGATGAATTCAGAGGATGAGGAATACAAATGCTCCAAACAAAATGGAATTCACAGGAAAATTCATAGTGGGCATTAGATTTCAGCAGAGCTGGAGTCAAGAAAACTCTCAGAAACAAAACTCATTTACTCCTTTAAAATAATAATGGTTGCAAGAAACAAAAATAACTCACTGCAAACTTGGTGGGATAAGACCAGAGGTAGCTTTAATGCTGCTTCAGGTAAAAACATTTGGAGAAGGATTTAAATTCAGCAATTTCAAATAGAACAGTCTTAAAGGATTTAAATTCAGCAATTTCAACTAGAATAGTCTTAAATTATTTAAATTCAGCAATTTCAACTAGAACAGTCTAAATGATTTAAATTCAGCAATTTCAATTAGAACAGTCGTAAAGGATTTTAAATTCAGCAATTTCAAATAGAACAGTCATAAGGGATTTTAAATTCAGCAATTTCAAATAGAACAGTCTTAAATGATTTAAATTCAGCAATTTCAACTAGAATAGTTGTAAAGGATTTAAATTCAGCAATTTCAACTAGAACAGTCTTAAATGATTTAAATTCAGCAATTTCAACTAGAACAGTCTTAAATGATTTAAATTCAGCAATTCCAACTAGAACAGTCTTAAATGATTTAAATTCAGCAATTCCAACTAGAACAGTCTTAAATTATTTAAATTCAGCAATTTCAACTAGAATAGTCGTAAAGGATTTTAAATTCAGCAATTTCAACTAGAACAGTTGTAAAGGATTTTAAATTCAGCAATTTCAACTAGAACAGTCATAAGGGATTTTAAATTCAGCAATTTCAAATAGAACAGTCATAAGGGATTTTAAATTCAGCAATTTCAAATAGAACAGTCTTAAAGGATTTAAATTCAGCAATTTCAACTAGAACAGTCATAAAGGATTTTAAATTCAGCAATTTCAAATAGAACAGTCTTAAATGATTTAAATTCAACAATTTCAACTAGAACAGTCTTAAACCGGTGTAAACAAGGTCCAGCACCTCGGTGGTGTCTTCTGAACGTGCTCGATGAGAAATTCCTCCTGCTGCTTCCTCTCACCACTTTTATTCTCTTTACCAAGTCATTCCTTTCATGCTTTGGATGAGGAAACCCTGACAGAACCCATGGATCTGCCAAGAAAATCAAAGTGTGGATCCAGCTGATCCTGTGCTCTTCCCAATCTTCTGCACCTGGTGCCTGCCAGGCCATCCACAAGATGAATTTTTGTGTCTTAAAAATGAGCTTACACTGAAGGCCTTTCCAGTTCAAGAAAATCAATTCATTAAAAACAAATAATAATAATAATAATGTGTAGAGAATAGTGGAAATAAAGCAACAGTCTAAAAAAATAAATATGTGGAAATCAAGGGAAATAAAGAGAGGAGAGCGTAAATTTAAAAACGATCATGACAGTCACACAAAAAGTTGGTTCAAGTGACGCAAGAAATGAGGAGAAGGAGCTGTTTACATAGAAAAAAATAATTTTAAATATTTGGTAACAATGAATTTTACACTTGTATACTAAAAAAATCCTTGTAAGTATATTTTATAATTTATTCCCTAGTGTATTTCTTACCGAAACATAGCAAAACCACAAACTCAGACAGAGAAATGAAAAAAAAATATATAAAAAAGAGACAAAACAAAAATCTGAAAAAAATCTGGATTGAGTTCAGGCTGAAGCAGGTTGTGTGTGGGTTGCTGTGCTCACATAATCCCGAATTTTCCGGACACGAAGCTGCTCCGGGCCGGGCCGGAGGCGTTTCGGGGCTGAGGGGGCTCCAGAGCGGAATAACGGATCTGGAACCCGCCCGCGGTCACTGAGGCGTCCGTCAGGAACTTCAGCGTCATCACATTCCCTGCACGGCGAAAATTCAATTTATGGGCAGCAAAACGGGGCCTTGCAGATGGATCTTTGGGGGTTTCAATTTTTTTACCTATATGCTGGGGGATTTTTTATTTTTTTCACATGTATTTTAGGGATTTTAAATTTTTTTCACCTATATTTTGTGTGATTTTAAAATTTTTCATATTTACTTTGGGTTTAAAATTCTTAAAATTCTTTTTTCAGATATATTTTTTGCAGATTGTTAATTTTTTCACATATATTTTTGCATACTTTTAATTTTTTTCCACATTTATTTTTGGAGATTTTTAATTTTTTTCACCTATATTTTGTGGGATTTTAAAATTTTTCCATATTTATTTTGGGTTTAAAATTCTTAAAATTCTTTTTTCAGATATATTTTTTTGCAAATTGTTAATTTTTTCACATATATTTTTGCTTACTTTTAATTTTTTTCACATGTATTTTCAGGGATTTTAAATTTTTTTCTCCTCTATTTGGCAGATTTTTCTTTTTTTTCACCTATATTTTGGGGTTTCATTTTTTCAGATATATTTTGGGGGATTTTTAATTTTTTTCAGATCTATTTTGGGGCATTTTAAATTTTTTTCACCTATATTTTGGAGGGAGTTTAATTTTTTTCACATAAATTTTTGGGGATTTTAAATTTTTTTCCACCTATATTTTGGGGATTTTTTATTTTTATTCACCTATATTTTGGGGTTTAAATATTTTCCAGATATATTTTTTGGGGTATTAACTTTTTCCAGATATCTTTTTTCGGGTTTTAGGTTTTTCTTCAAATGTAATTTTTTTTTTGAGTTTTAGGGGTTTTTCAGGTGTATTTTTGGGGTCTTTAAGTTTTTTTCAGATATGGTTTTTGGGTTTTAACTTTTTTCAGATTTTTTTTTTTGAGGTTTTAAGTTTTTTTAGGGAATACTTCCCTCTAATTAGGCTGATTTACATTCATTTAGAAGTAATTAAGTGGCTTTTTGATTTCCCACAAAGAGTGAAAATAAATTACCTGTGCTAATGATGTCATCTGGCAACTCATCTCCACAAAATCTGGAAAAAAAATGAAATGTTGGTTAAAGGAATTAAGGGAATTATGGCACAGCCCTGCTCCATGGGGCTCAAGAGGATATTAAATATATATGTAGCATATTTATATTATAAATTATATATTACATATTATTATATTAATATTTAATATATTTACAATATAAATTGATATAAGAATATAAATTGATTTAATTGGAATTCTATGTTAAAGCAATTTCCTAAATAATTTTTCCTAAATAAGATTGAGGGGAGAAGCAGTTTTCAATATCTGCAGGAAGTAAATGAAAGAAGGGAAAAAAGCCAATTCACGAGAGGTTAAGGAAAGGAAGAGTGAGCCAAGACTAAGAGAGGAACAACATTGCCAAAAAAATCCATTTGAATTACCTGTAAAAGCAAAAATGGACTCAGTATAATATGTTATGTTATGTTATGTTATGTTATGTTATGTTATGTTATGTTATGTTATGTTATGTTATGTTATGTTATGTTATATTATGTTTGTTGTATTATGTTATATTATGTTATATTATGTTATGTTATATTATATTATATTATATTATATTATGTTATGTTATGTTATGTTATGTTATGCTTTGTTATGTTATGTTATGTTATGTTATGTTATGTTATGTTATGTTATGTTATGTTATGTTATATTATGTTATGTTATATTATGTTATATTATGCTTGTTGTATTATGTTGTATTATATTGTATTATGTTGTATTATGTTGTATTATATTATATTATGTTATATTATGTTATGTTATGTTATGTTATGTTATGTTATGTTATGTTATGTTATATTATATTAATCTACTATATTATATATTCTATGTTATATAATATAGAATATATAATATATTATTATATATAATATATAATATATTATTATATATAATATATAATATATAATATATAATATAATATATAATATATAATATATAATATATAATATATAATATATAATATATAATATATATAAGGTATTATATATTAGATATAATATATAATATATTAGATATTAGATATTAGATATTAGATATTAGATATTGGATATTCAATACTAGATATTAGATATCATTTATTATATCACATTCATCCCATAAATTTCCTAATTTACAATTTCTAAACCTCCTTCTCCCGAAGGTGTGCCCATCCCACCCTAAAGTGGCGCATTCCCTGTTCCGTACCTGCCCACGAAGCCGTTGACATCGTCGTAGCTGTCGTAGACCTCCAGGAAATCCGCCAGGCACGCCGTGTCCTCCTCCAGGTCGAACTCCAGGAACTGCAGGTGGATCCTGTGCCCGTAGCTGACGCGGATGTGCCAGTAGCAAACCTGCTCGTTCTCGTACTCCTTGGGGTAACCCGGCGATTTAAAAACGTGCTTGGAGTCCGTGAAAACCCCTCCGCACTCCTTGCCTAAGGGACAGGTAAAACACGAGAGATGAGCTTTGAATTCTCACCTGGAATTGAATTCCCTGAGCTGCAGATCTGTGGGAATCACTGAAGAGCATCCAGAGGGACAGAGCTGGGCTCAGCAGCTGCTCTGCAGGCTGAGTTAGCAGGAGGAGAAGTTGATAAAAACATTAATTTATCCGCAGCAAGGAAGAAATCAAGGCCGTTAGCATGGAAACCAATAAAACAGACACATACGGGATATTTCCAGCCTTAGTGAGCAGCATTCATCCCTTCAAATTTTGTTGTAAGCTCCTCATTCATTATTGCTGTTAACTGCTTTGTACCAATAAAATACAATAAAATAAAATAAAATACAAGCTATTGCTTTGTCCAATGAATACAATGTAACTAATGCCTTAAGATCATGCTTTTTAAAGGTGTAAAATTTGAGAATAATTTGGAATAAAGCAGCAGCAGCCATTGTTGTCTATGCACAATGTGTGTGTGTGCTGTGCCCATCTCCACAGTGACAGCTGCTGACATTTCTGCTGGTGTCAGGCTGAGGTGTGTGGCATTCCCGTGCTCTGGACAGACAGACATCATTCTGTCTCTCAGGAGAAGCACAGAGAGGAGAACAGAAAACAATCTTTATCTCTGCTGCGCTGTTTTCCCCATGTGCAATGGGGTGTGGAGATTGCTGGGTTGGATTCTGGTGAAGGTTGTTTGGGTGTTGCTCTGATTTTTAGAAGTGTTTTCTTGTATAGTTCTTTTGAAAGTTTTAAAGTTCTCAAAAAACTTCTTTAGCCTTCTGATAACTGGAATTCTCACTGTTCATGTAAATAATGATTGTTTTGTCTTCTTTTTTGTGAGAGGAGAGAATTGATGGGCTGTTGGTTTGACCAGTGTGGTTGGAGAGGTGGCAATTTCATCCTCCCATCCACTGCCACTTTTAGAATTCTATATATTGCAAGGAGAACTATAAAAGAAAACTTAACACTCTTAAAAATCAGAGCAATATTTGGGTTCAATGACCAATAGGATCTGGCACTGCAGGAGGGCTGAGCCACCTTGGGATGGGGCTGCTGCCACCTCCCTGACCCACAGGCTGCCAGGGCCTGCTCTGACTCTGCCAGTGTTGTTTTTTTTAGTTTGTACTATTGCATTTTTATTTTTAGTTTCCCTAGTAAAGAACTGTTATTCCTATTCCCGCATGTATGCATGAGAGCACCTTAATTTCAAAATTATAATAATTCAGAGGAAGGGGATTTACATTCTCCATTTCAAGGTAAGGTCCTGCCTTGCTCAGCAGACCCCTGGCTTTTCAAACCTGGACACCCAGCTTTTGGAAGGAGATATTTTGGAAGCAGGAGGCGTGATCCAAACCTCACTGAATTCACAGCAAAAGCTTTTATTGCCTTCAGTGGGTTTGGGGCCAGAGCTGTATTTTTTGTGAAAGGCATTTGGGATTTCTGGCTCTCTCAAGCTTTACAGCTGTACTTGCACATCACACTGACACTCAGATTCATCCTTTCTTCTTCAAAAAACCTCTTGCAAGCGTGTCTCAAACAAAAACCAGCTCGTGATCACAGACCTGCTGTTGTACTCCTGCTGTTCCTGCTGCTCCACATTCCCTTTGGGATGAAACCACTCCTGCTCTGATCCAGTGGCCATTTGGGCTTTGCCAGCTCCCTGACAGTGGGGCTGACCCAACTGGGAATTGAGCTCAGAGCCCCGGGAATGTTCCCCTGGAGCAGGGAAGGATCCAGGCAGAGCTCAGAGCCCCGGGAATGTTCCCCTGGAGAAGGGAAGGATCCAGGCAGAGCTCAGAGCCCCTGGCAGGGCCTGAGGGGCTCCAGGAGACCTGGAGAGGGACTGGGGACAAGGGATGGAGGGACAGGAGCCAGGGAATGGCTCCCACTGCCAGAGGGCAGGGATGGGTGGGAGATTGGGAATTGGGAATTCCTGGCTGGGCTGGAATTCCCAGAGCAGCTGTGGCTGCCCTGGATACCTGGAGGTGTCCCAGGCCAGGCTGGAGCAGCCTGGGACAGTGGGAGGTGTCCCTGAGCGAGCTGCTCAGCAGCTCCCCGAGCCCCAGAGGAGCCTCAGCTACCTCAGGGAAGGTACAGGTTGGATATGAGGAAAAAGTTTTTCACTGAAAGAATAACAAAATACTGGAATTGTCTTCCTAGGGAGGTGGTAGAATCACCATCTCTGGATATGTTTAAAAAAAGCCTGGACTTGGCACTTGGTGCTATAGCCTAGCTGAGGTGTTAGGGCATGGGTTGGACTTGATCTTAGAGATCTCTTCCAGCCTCATCATTCCGTGATTCTGTGAGGAACAATCCCACAGCAAAACCACGAGGGCAGGAGCTCTCTGCAGCTCTGTGTGAACATCTGGGCCGGGCCCCCACCCCACAGAGCTATTTAATGAACATAAACAAGCCCAGCCCTGGGAGCACAAACAAAATGTGCACAGCTGTGCAGACTCACTGCCTCTGCCATGCCTCTGTGTGCTGGGAGCAGCAGCTGAGCTTTGCTGCCCTTCCTGGGGCCACCTCTGCCCTGTCCCTGTCCCTGTCCCAAGCTGTCGGAATCTGAGGTATTGGTGATTCCCAAATTGTAGAAAGTCTCTGTCTGTCAGCCCCACTGCCAAAGCAGAAGCCATAATTGGTCTGTGCTGTTTCAAGGTTGTTTATTCTGTTTATCTCTAACATGTTCTGCTGCCCTGCCGCAGCTCTGTCCTGCAGGGCAGCGTGTGGGGCTCTGCCCTCAGTGGGATGGTACAAACATTAAATACCACAAACTACCTGTGCTGGATTTACAATAACGTGCCAATATCTGTCACCTACGTTGGACAGTGTGTCCCCAGCCTGAACCAACAGAAAAATGCCAACACCACAGTGAAACATGGAGGGCATGAAGAAGGAGAAAAAGGACAAGACACACCCAATTTCCTCCATCTTGTCCCCTTTGGACCTCTTATCTAGAATCCTAAAATTTTACTTCTGCACCCGTGTCACACTTAATTATTACTCTTATCAAACACTCAGAGCTTGTAATTCATCCTGTAAGACTAAAAACTCTTTTCCATGGACAGAGATCACAGCCAGTGTCTCTGGGGGCTCTGTCCAGGGGGGTTCCTGACCCCTGCCAGGGTCCCAGGGCAGCCAGAGGGAAGCCCTGGATTCCCACACCAAGCCACCAGTGGCCACACCAGTGGGTGCTGTGGTCACCTCCAGGGCAGGGGATGGGGGATGATGTCTGTGCTGGGGCTCTGAGCTGCCCTGGAGAGCCACTTCTCCTCCTCTAAGGACACACAGAGCTCTGCTGGGAGCTTCTCTGGGAGAATCACAGAGTTACAGGCAGCCAAGCACATTTCTCTCCCTCTCAAGATTTTTTATAGAGAAATAAAAGAGAAAATAATTTCTGTTTCTGCTCCTCGTTTTTCTTATGTAGAATGGGTTTAGAGAACTGTTTACCTGCAGTGATTGCTTGATTGGATTTTAGTGAGGATTGTTTGAGTCTAATAGCTGATCTAATTTACTTATTAAGGTCACGAGTTGTGTGAGAGTTAGTCAGAGAAAATAGTATGTAGTTTTAATATCCTCCTTTTATATATCATATAAAATATGATATATAAATATATATCATTATATTTATATATCATATATATCATATATATCTCATCTATATCATGTATATATAATAATATTTAATATATAACATATTAAATATAAAATATTATATCTTTAACATATTTATAATAAAAAAATAATTCAGCCTTCTGAACTAAGTCAGACATCGTCATTTTTTCCCATTAGGTTCGCCTACATTTACAATATTACAGGATGGTCTGGATGGAAAGGGACATTAAAACTCATCCCTGCCATGGCAGGGACACCTCCCACTGTCCCAGGTGCTCCAAGCCCCAGTGTCCAACCTGACCTTGGGCACTGCCAGGGATCCAGGGGCAGCCCCAGCTGCTCTGGGCACCCTGTGCCAGGCCTGCCCACCCTCCCAGGGAACAATTCCTCCCTAGGAATTCCTCCTAGTTCCTCCTAAGAAAGCCAATCCCAGGCAGGACGTTCATTTTCAGAGCTGTTGTATCTCAGACCAAAAAAAATAAGAAGCTTTAACCTTAAATTTACCCCATTTCAGGCAGAATACCTCAGATTATGGGCAGAAAGCCCTCAGATTATTCAGATAAATTGTGGGTTAAATGCAGAAGAGGACAGGAGGGGACAGGAGGGGACAGAAGGACAGCCCTGTGGCTGCTCCTCACCGTTGGGGTTGTAGCAGTAGGCGTCCCACCTCTCGCTCCTGTTGAGGCGAATTCCATAATCAACAATTCCAGTCTTGCCAAAGCCACAGTTGGCTCCTGCTTTTACTATGGGATACCCAACTCTGCCCTTGGCCATCCAGCCAGCAGCACACACGTGGAAACCTGCAGCAGAGGGAAAATGAGGCAGAAAATGATCAGTCCTGGGCTGCTCTTATTGCACAAAGCCTCACTCAGTGGACCTGGGTGGAATTGGCCTGATAGAAATTGAGCTACACCCCAGAGCAGGACTTGAGAGGATAATTTTAAATACAGAGGGTAAAACTGAATTGTGTTCTCCACAATGTGATTACTGGTTCTTCATCTGAAGCCCCAAATCAAATGCAGATGGACTGCACAGTCAGGTTTAAGTGCTCAACCAGCACTTGTAATCCAATTATCCATTGGATGAGTTTTCCAAGGGTGTTCTCTGCTTCCCTTTTGAAGTCAGACAAATTTACTCAATCCCATCTCAAGGGCTGTCAGCATTAAGTTCTAAAAATAAATAAAACACACTACAGACAGCTAAAATCCCCAAGCATTTCCTTAAAACACTTTCAATTTAAATTTAAATACCTGAAATGCCTCAAGGATTTCTTGCCAAACAAAAAGATCCCTTTAATGCATTCTGTGGCTGAGAACTTAACAGCACTGGCCAAAGAATGCAATGTTGTAGAGACCCATCCAATGTTTTCGTGGAGAGGAACTGGAACATATTTGTGGCATCTTAGGGCCTGGAGCTCCTCAGAAGAAACAAAAGTTCCCTTTTCACATGTGCTGGTGCTGGGAGCCAGCTTCTGACTCAACAGCAGGGTGAAAAAATGTCTGGAGTGGAGGATATTTTCCATTGTTTTCTCAGTGCTCTGAATGAATGAGGAGCTTCTTAGGAATCAGCTGGAAGTCCAGGGGAGCCCTCACTCCGCTGCACTTTTCACCTCCAAGCACAGAAAATATCTCAATGGGAATAAAAGTGGTTGGAGCGAGTCCTGAGGAGGTCAAGGAGATGCTCCCAGGGCTGGAGCCAGGCTGGGAGAGCTGGGAATGTTCCCCTGGAGAAGGGAAGGATCCAGGCAGAGCTCAGAGCCCCGGGAATGTTCCCCTGGAGAAGGGAAGGATCCAGGCAGAGCTCAGAGCCCCGGGAATGTTCCCCTGGAGAAGGGAAGGATCCAGGCAGAGCTCAGAGCCCTGGGAATGTTCCCCTGGAGAAGGGAAGGATCCAGGCAGAGCTCAGAGCCCCGGGAATGTTCCCCTGGAGAAGGGAAGGATCCAGGCAGAGCTCAGAGCCCCTGGCAGGGTCCAAAGGGGCTCCAGGAGAGCTGGAGAGGGGCTGGGGACAAGGGATGGAGGGACAGGACCCAGGGAATGGCTCCCACTGCCAGAGGGCAGGGATGGGTGGGAGATTGGGAACTGGGAATTCTGTCTGGAAGGTTGGGGACACTTTGGCACTCATCCTCCTCCTCTCCAAGCGGGCAGCTTGTGCCAAACCCCACGGCATTTACAAAGAACCCCAAACTTGGAACAAGAGACACCAACACCCCTGTGAGCACCCCGAGGAGGATCCCTGGGTTTCTCCAGACCTATTTTCCGAGCTGCCTCCAGCTGCTGCAGCGTGGCCAGGCGTCCTCCCTCGTACTCGCACACGGCCCTGGCCTCGGCGAAGGTCAGCCGGTACTTGCCCGAGCGCGACTCGCGGTGGTACACGCCGGCCGCCCGCTCTGCAGGACACAGGGGACAAAAAAGGGACAAAAAAGGGTCAGCTCCCAGTGTCAGCATTCAGGAACACACATAATCACAGGACATGGTTCCGTGCAGGTGCTTTTATTGAGAGCTCTGGGATCAGGGGTCCAGAGCCAAATCTGACTCCAACTCGGCTTTCGAGCTGAAAGTATTTTATATTGTATCCTTATATAACTTACATATTAATTATTAAACTTATATTGTTCTATTGTATACGTTGATTTTATTCAACCATGAGTTTCTCATGATCTTTCTTAGGCCCCTGAATCAGGGGTCCAGACCCAAATCTGACTGCGACACGGCTTTTGCGCTGTATTTTATATTCTATCGTTATATAACTTACATATTAATTATTAAACTTATATTTTTCTCTTGTATTCATTGACATGAGTTTCTTGTGATCTGTCTTAGGCCCCTGAATCAGGGGTCCAGACCCAAATCTGACTCCGACACGGCTCTCGAGCTGAACGTATTTTATATTCTATCCTTATATAACTTACATATTAATTATTAAGTTTACATTGTTTAGGAACACACAAAATCACAGGATATGATTCCATGCAGGTGCTTTTATTGAGAGCTCTGGAATCAGGGGTACAGACCCAAATCTGACTCCAACACGGCTCTAGAGCAGAACATATTTTGTATTCTATCCTTATATAACTTACATATTAATTATTAAGTTTACATTGTTTAGGAACACATAAAATCATGGGATATGATTCCATGCAGGTGCTTTTATTGAGAGCTCTGGAATCAGGGGTGCAGACCCAAATCTGACTCCCACATGGCTTTTGAGCTGAATGCATTTTATATTCTATCATTATCTAACTCACATATTAATTTTTAAACTTATATTCTTCTATTGTATTCATTGACATGAGTTTCTTGTGATCTTTCTTTGATCCCTGACCACAGTTTCTCATGATTATTCTTATGATTAAACATAATTATATTTAATTACTAAACAACCATCACCCCTAACAATTATATCATTTCTCATGTACTACCTGCACAGGTGCAGTTCTAGCAAGTACAAGTTCCTCATGTGCTTAGGGTGTTTATTTTTCCAGGGCCTACTAAGCTTAATTTTCTTTTTAACCCTAAATCCCCATAATTTTAAAACCCTTTTACTATCACCAGCTGCTTGGTTGGATTCTGGTGAGGATTGTTTGAGCTGATGGCCAAATCCAAATCCAACCTACCTGGGGCTGGGCTCTCAGAGAGGGTCAGGAGTTGTGAGTTAGATTTGATATTTAGAAAAAATAGGTTTGTAGTTTTAGTATGTCCTTTAAATAGTATATTAATATATTATAATATAGTTATAATGAAGAAATCATTCAGCCTTCTGAACTGAGTCAGACATTGTCATTTCTTCCCACTGGATTCACCTGCATTTATAATTCTAAACAGAATCCCAGAATGATGAGGTTGGAAGAGACCTCTAAGATCATCTGTGCCCTGACACCTCAGCTAGGCTGTAGCACCAAGTACCATGTCCAGTCTTTTTTTAAACACACCCAGAGATGGTGATTCTGCCACCTCCCTGGGAAGACAATTCCAGTATTTTATTATTCTTGCAGTGAAATTTTTTTTCCTAATATCCAACCTGAACCTTCCCTGACGTAGCTGAGGCTGTGTCTTGTTCTGTCAGTGCTGCCTGCTGGAAAAGACTGACCTCACTTTTCTGCCACCTCCTTTCAGGGATAAAATCACCTCTGAGCCTCCTCTTCTCCAGGCTGAACAACCCCAGCTCCTTCAAACTGGATGAGAGAATGTAATCCTTGTGAAAATGTAAAAAGTTTAATAAAGGACAACAGGAGGCAGGAGTCATGGGGTAAAGGTTGTTACTGCCAGGTGCATCTTGGCACTCAGCTGTGGCAGTGCCCCAAACTCTGCCAGTTTGGGTGTTTTTCCTCTCTGGCCACAGAGGAAACACCCAAACTTCCCCTGGATCCTCCTGGGAGAGGCTGTGAGAAGCTCAGAGACAGGAATGAGGAACAATTCTGCTCCTCACTCGCTGCACCTGGTGTTGTGAGATTTCTTTTCCAAAGGGTGGTTTCTTAATCAGCCAACGGTGGTGGTGGTGTTTTAACTAAAAACCCAACTAGGGCCACGAGCAGTGAATTAGGCTATAAAAGAGCAATGGTTTATTTATAATAAAGAATTTAATCAGCCTTCTCTAATACAAGGAGTCTGTGTCCATCCTCACCCAGCTGGGGCCCTCACCCTGACACCCACCCAAGGCTACTTTGCTATTTTTGGGGATACTTCTTAAATACTTTTCTTATTACATCTTCATAGACTCTTATGCATAGTAAACTTTTATCCTAAACTAGCTTACATGTTTTAAGAATTGTTTATTGTGGTTCTTTTTTGGGTCTGTTTTTTTAGAGTATGCGTATTTTTTGGTTTATTTTTATCACCTCTAATTTTTGGGCCTTGGTCTACACTGTCTTCAGACAGTGAGTGTTGATAGTTGGCATATTTGTAGTAGGTGTCTTTTTTATATGTTCATTGGATGTTATTTTATCTAAGTAGGTATTTTAACACAATATAACTATTTTACTACAATGTCTAAGCTTAATCAACAACAGAAATAAAAACTACATTTTTAGAACAAAGTTACTTTAACATGATACATATAAAATCTAGTTCAATATTTGCAAAAAGCCAATAATTTAAAGCCAATATTTAAATTTCACCTGTATCTATAACACAGATGAAGAGGAAAAGTTCAGCTGTGCCATGGAGGAAGTGTCAGGAAAGCTCAGCACTGCTGACCACAAAGGGATGAGTGTGACACCCAAAAAGAGTGTTTGTGACACCCACAGGGATGAGTGTGACCCAAAAGGGTGGATGTGTGTGATATCTGCGAATTTTAACTTTTACATTTTTCATGTATTTGTAACCTGCAGGTCTTTAGTGCATAACTCCAAACTCCACATTCAGTGTGAGCTGCTGCTTTCCCATTTTGGGCAGACACAACAATTCCTCTCCAGGCCTGGCAATTGAGGGCAGAGAGATGGAAAAAAAGTGATTTGGGAGGGAGCAAATTTGGTGTCAATGACTTTGATAGCTGAAGCTGGAATTGGAACAGATCAACCCCCAATATGCAAATGGACAAAATGATAAAAGTGTGAAAAGCCATGAGCCATCATCCACTTTTGGGTGTGGCCCCTGGAGGGCTTTGTCTGCCCTAAATGTACTTGAAGTCTCTTCAATAAATAGAACTGCTTTTTATTCCCTTAATTCTGTTTTTAGGTAGCCCAAAAAGGCATCGTGTGGGTGACACCCAAAGGGATGTATGTGTGTGACACCCACAAAGGGATGTGTGTGACCCCCCAGATGTAGGATTTGGGGTGGGGGCAGTTTAGGACACAGCAGGTCCGGGCTTGGAAGGGTTTGTGAAGGACAGAAAATCAGCAGGAGCTGGGGAGGCTCCCAGGATGCTCCCAGGATGCTCCCAGGATGCTCCCAGGATGCTCCCAGGGCAGGGATTTGGGAGCAGTTTGGAGTCAGCATCCCCAGCCCTGGCTGGCTCAGGAAGTTCCTCCTGGATCCCCATCACAGCATCCTTCTGCCTGGGACTCCCAGAGCCTCTGGAAGATGAATCAGAGCTTTGTTTTGCATTTCCAGAGAAGTGAAATCACAGCTACTTGGCTAGAGGAGAGGCAGAAATGAAAGGAGGGGGGCGAAAATGTCAAATAAAAATATCTGAGCGTGTGTCACAAAGGGCAGGACCAGAACAATTGCTGGCTGACATTTCTGCTGCACGGAAAATTAAAGCAATTTCTTCATTATTTTTGACTTTGCCGTGGCAATTCCGAGACAAAACAGCTTTCCAAGGAAACCTAGAAACTGCCAGGGCTGCTACAAGTTTTGCAATCTTCGCATGTTGCACTTGTCTGGTGCCTTATGTATGGAAATCTGTCTTGCAGCAATCTGAGGGTTTTTTTTTATTTAGGTCTCACTTGTATTTAGCAGAATCTGAGAGGAATTGCTGTTTGCAGCTCTGCCCAGCCAACGTGACTGAGAGAAGATGGAAAGCAGGCAGCATTTTTACAGTAGTTATTTGCAGCTTAAAAATAAAGGATGTATTTTCTAGGGACGTGCTTGGGGTCGGTGCTTTTGGCTGGGTTAGGGGAGGTTTGTAAAAAAGCCACTGAATTGTGGTTGGGAATGGTGAGAGCCCTTAACAGACACAGGGGGATGTTTGTCAGGGTGGTTTTTGTGCCCAGAGAAATAAATTCTATTACTGGCAGCACTCTGAGGAGAGGGAGAACCTCCTTCTGCAGCATCCCTGGCATGGGGTAACAGATCCTCCCCAAAAAAATCTTCCTGAAGGAGCCTAACAATGCACAGCTGGGGGATTGTGGCACGTTCTAGTGTAAAAACCTCCTTTTAAAATAAGAATTTATTCATAGGAATTCATTCATGAGGTCTGATTTTTAAATATACTGTGAAAGGGAGTAACATCCTTGACTAAAGGTGGATCTTTCCCTGTATAATTGGCATAATAATCCCTGTATAATTCAATTTGGCACAACAGGTCATGTACACTACATGAACACTCTAATTCCTGAGGCTCTGAAGATGCCTTGGGAAGGTGAGGGACCAACTGTTCCCATGCATCCACCAGAATCCAGAGATGATTTGGGAATAATCCCATAAATGTGCCCGATACAGCTTTTTTTAAATATCTTTTGGGATTGGCCAAACATCCCAAAAGTTGGCACACCAACCAAACAGGTGGAAAGTGGCTCTTTGGGGGCCACCTTGGACAAACATTTGGTTTTTAAACCTGAAGCTTTCACCAAAGTCACCCAAACATTTGGCTGAGGGTGGCAAATCTGCGTGGCTAAAGGCAAGCAGAGCGAAAAAACACAAGCATAACTTTTGATTTAGTCACAGGAAATATTACTTTTCAGTCACTCAGCAATCTGTCATGGCTAAGCTCATGAGAAATCAAGAGAAATCAGCTCATTCTGTGTTGGGAATGCAGGGCTGGGGAATCCCCCAGGAAGCAGCTCAGTGCTGGGCCTGCCTGCAGATATTTTTATTTTAACTGTAATATTTGTATTCTAACTGTTACAGGTGCAGATGAGAAAAAAGCTGATACTTTGCTCAAGGTAAAAATTATGGTTTTACTCTTTCTTGTTGGATTGTGCCCTTTTCTGACTCAGACTCAAATGTTTTAAAACTCAAATGTTTTAAAAGCTTTTTTTTCTATTTTCAGTCTCATGAGAACGGTGAGACAATACAGATGTAATAATTCACATTGTTACAATTAGAAGCTATTTTTAAATTACAATACTCTATAAGTGTAATTTAATTATCTGTAAATCTATTTCCCGCATTTCTCAGATGGGAATTTAAAAAGTTGGAATTATTTTCTTTCCATGTTTATCAGACTGGAGAAGGATCTGCAGAAGGCAACAAGAAATGGTCCTGGAAATATGTGAGGCACAGAAAATGGTGTTGATTTTCTTAGAGAATTCAACACATTGATGAGTTTAAAGCACAGTGTGAGGGACAGGGACTGGTGACAAAAGTTCTAAAGAATTTCTGAGGTCAAAATTCTGAAAGTTTTTAATTTTGCAAGAGTTTGTTCTTAGTTCTGGGCATAAAAACCATCAATCCTTGGCCTGGAAGTCTGGAATGCAGAGCTCAGAGAAGGGGACTGGAAAGCAGTGATTGTATTCCCTGAGCTCTCTAAAATCTCACCATTTTTAGTTGTTTTTGGGGTTTTTTTCCACCTGGCAATATTGTTTTCAGATTTTATCCCTCTAAAGGTATCTCCCCCCACTTTCTGCTGGAATGTCACCATGGACAGGCAGCAGGTTTTGCAGAATTTCAGATTTTCTGTGCTGACAGACTCTGACCCCCAGGAGAACTCTGCACTGACCTGAGGCTGTGGAGAAGGTTCCAAAATGGAATGGCAGAACTGGGATTGTGGGAGTGGAGTTTGGACAGAAATGTGAGATATCACAGGGGGGGAAACTCAGAATTTAAGGGTTTAGAATATAGGAATATAAATAAAGCAAGGTGGAGGTTTTAGGGTGGAGGCTGATCCTCCTTCTCCTTCTTCTCCTCCTTCTCCTCCTTCTCCTCTCCATGTGTTTGGGTGGTTTTGTGTTATTAAATAAAGAAGTCCACAGTGCTGGCCATGGATGGTTAGTTATTGGGTTAAAATTAAAAATAATTTAGGTGTAATTTCTTAATTGGAGAGTTTATCCTTAAAAGGCCTTGTAGAGAGAGATAAACCTCCATTTTTAATTTGTTAGAGTGAAGGGCTGCAGAACTCAGGGTTTGTGAGACTGTGACATGGATAAGCACTAATAAACACCTGAGTCCCAACAAGAAATCCCATCACACATTTAATCCTTAACTAGGCAGAAAAAAAGCAAAATAATTGACATATTGCTGGGGAGATCAGCCCTTCACAGAGTCTGCAGGGCTGAAAGCAGCAGCAGCACCACCCTGAGAGGAGCAACAGCTCCCAGCCCTTTTATTCCTCTGCAACGTGACAAAACAGCCTCTGGAAAAACAGACCACACACAGGATCTGCCCAAAAAATAAAAATAATTTAGGTGTAATTTCTTAATTGGAGAGTTTATCCTTAAAAAGCCTTGTAGAGACAGAGATAAATCTCTATCACACATCATGTGTGTGCTCTGTTTCTCTGGGTGTCCCAGAACCTGACAGAAAATCCTCATTAACTGATGACATCAGTTAATTATAAATAAGTTAATCATATAAATCAATTAATCATATACATCAGTTAATCATAGACATCAGTTAATCATAATCAGTTAATAATAAATATTGCACTGGCCATATTTCCCCCCTCCCTCCTCAATTCCACGTGGGGCTGTGCAGGATGAACTCAGAGCAGGGTTTACTCACTCCTCATTTCCATATTTATGGCTCTGGATGTGCCTCCACCTCCACATTTTCAGGAACATGCACACAAATTGCACATATTTGTATGTAGAGAGGTTTATCTCTCTCTCTACAAGGCTTTTTAAGGATAAACTCTCCAATTAAGAAATTACACCAAAATTATTTTTATTTTTAACACAATAACCAAGCGCCCATGCCCGCAATGGGGACTTTTTAAATTAATTACACAAAACCACTCAAACCCATGGAGAAGAAGGTGCCTCCACCCTAAAACCTCCATCTTGCTCTATATATAATTAGCATATGCTAAACCCTTAAACATTTGGCCAAGAAGGCACCTGCAATAGATAATAGATAATAGATAATAGATAATAGATAATAGATAATAGATAATAGATAATAGATAATAGATAATAGATTATATACACTATATTATATATTATATACACTATATTATATATTATATATATAAATATATTATATATTATATATGGTATATTATTTATGATATATAATGTATCATGTATAATATGTAATATAAAGATGTATATTATATTATATTATATTATATTATATTATATTATATTATATTATATTATATTATATTATATTATATTATATTATATTATATTATATTATATTATATTATATATGGTATTATATTCATTATGTATTATATTTTATATTGTATTATATGCAATATAAAATACATAATAGAATAAAAATTATAGATATATAATCTTATAGATAAAAATTATATATATTTATTGTATATTATATGTTATATGTTATATGTTATATGTTATATGTTATATGTTATATGGTATATGGTATATAGTATATAGTATATAGTATATAGTATATAGTATATAAATGTGGTTTTTATATTGATATATTTTATTTATATATATAGATGCATGCGACGGGTTTGTGGAGGAAAAAGGTAAAATGGAAATTTTCCTGAATTTTGAGTTTGGGTCTTTATCAGAAGAGGAGAAAAGCAAAGCTCAGGTGTCACTGTGCACCCCCAGCTCTTATTCCACTGATGCTCAAGCACAGTGAGGCTGAGCTGGGGTGACTTCCTTCACTATTCAAGTTATTTGATTTCAAATGCAAAGAAGCACGAACTGGATGGCTGTGAATTTACCAATTTTATCTTCATTTATATACAGAATCGCTGAATTCCACTGGTAATTCAATTAACTGGTTCATTCCAGAAATGTTATTGCTGCACTTACCCAAGATGGTGCATTTCTATTTTGGTTTGTTTGTTTAGAGAAAGCCATCAGGATTTTTACCCCCTGGTTTATATTCATTTACTCTCCTGCTCAATGCTTAGAGGTGCAGCCAAACAGAATTTTTATCACGGGTTCCAATTAGCACACAGCTGCTCCATTTGAAAGCATTTAAAAAGATTTTTCTTCCATTTGACTTCAATTCATGGAGCTGCTCAAATGAACGCTGTTATCCCAAATTTTGGAGCGGCAGAGGCGGAGCTGCCAAGCTCCAGGTTTGGGGGGGAAGGAGGAGCCATTAAAAATGTGCAGCCAAATGGGAAAAAAAAGATCATTTCTGTGATCATTTGTGCTGCTGGTGCTCTGCAGAATCCTCTGAGAGGGGCTGGAGACGCCTGAGCCCAGCAGCTCCAGGGATTCCTGAAAATCCTCAGGGAAATCCAACATTCTATGGGGGATTTGAAAAAAATTTCAAAAGATTTTTCTTCCATTTGACATCAATTCATGGAGCTGCTCAAATGAGCGCTGTTATCCCAAATTTTGGAGCGGCAGAGGTGGAGCTGGAGCTGCTCTTTCCTGGAGCCTTCCCCACCTGAGCTGCGAGGCACAAGAGGCAGGACTGGGGGGAAGGAGGAATAATTAAAAATGTGCAGCCACATGGAAAAAAATATATAATTTCTCTGATCATTTGTGCTCCTGGTGCTCTGCAGAATCCTCTGAGAGGGGCTGGAGACACCTGAGCCCAGCAGCTCCAGGGATTCCTGAAAATCCTCAGGAAAATCCAACGTTCTCCAGGGGATGGAGGATTTGGAAGGATTATTCTGGAGAACAGAGCACTCGGTGGCAGGCTCTGTGCTGAGTCAGCTCTTTGCTAATTGGGTAATTACAATTACTAGCAAAGAACCCTCAGAGTTCTTGGAGGTACCAGAAACCATCCCCACAGCGTTTTTGTCTTGCCCTTTTGAAATCTTCCCGCGAACAAACCAATATCATCGCTGTTCTTTCCAGATCATTTCGTTTCCCATGCAGGACCCCAGGCACGGGAAGCATGTTCGTGCAGAAAGTAATTCATTCCTTTGGCAAATGTTTCTTTTTGGGCTCGTTTTCCCTCAAAACAAAGCCACTGTTATTTAGTGAAGGCAGCTTTCACTTTACCTCCTGCTGCAGGAAAATACGTTCGGATGAAATGTTCTATAATAACATTTTCAATAAATAAATACCTTTTCCTGCAGTTCAGTGATGCTGTACAAACTGAAAGTTGTGAAAAGGGACAGTGGCTACTGAGGTAAGGAGAATTCAACAAATTTCAGCGCAGGATGGGTGAGGAGGGAGGGTTCCTTACCTAGCCAGATGGAGTTGTGCAGCACTCCATCCCTGAAGCCCCAGGCTGCAGCCTGCTCACACAGCAGCGCCGAGAGGAGCAGCAGCACGATCATCTCTGGGGCAGGCAGCGAGGGGCTGGGAATTTTCCTGGCTCTGCCTCTGCAGCTGCCCCGATCCTCCCGCAACATCTGGCAGCCAGATCTTAAATAGAGAGCTCAGCTGTGAGGTCAGCAGGGCCGCTCCAATTGTGCTGCTGCGCTTCTTGCCCAACCTCTGTGCTGGCTGCAGTGACTCACGGCTGGCTCTGCTCCTTCCCAGCCCGGCCAAGAATCCATCCCATCCCTTCCCATCCCTTCCCTTCCCTTCTCATCCCGTCCCGTCCAGTCCCATGCCATGCCATGCCATGCCATGCCATGCCATGCCATGCCATGCCATGCCATGCCATGCCATGCCATGCCATGCCATGCCATCCCTCTCATCTCATCTCATCTCATCCCATCTCATCCCATCCCACTGATCCCATCCCATCCCATTGATCCGATCCCATCCCATCCCATTGATCCCATCCCACCCCATCCCATTGATCCCATCCCATCCCATCCCATCCCATCCCATCCCATCCCATCCCATCCCATCCCATCCCATCCCATCCCATCCCATTGATCCCATCCCATCCCGTCCCGTCCCGTCCAGTCCCACGTGCCGTGCCATGCCATGCCATGCCATGCCATGCCATGCCATGCCATCCCATACCATCCCATCTCATCCCATCCCACTGATCCCATCCCATCCCATTGATCCCATCCCATCCCGTCCCATCCTGTCCAGTCCCACATCCCATCCCATCCCATCCCATCCCATCCCATCCCATCCCATCCCATCCCATTGATCCCATCCCATCCCGTCCCATCCTGTCCAGTCCCACATCCCATCCCATCCCATCCCATCCCATCCCATCCCATCCCATCCCATCCCATCCCATCCCATCCCATCCCATCCCATCCCATCCCATCCCATCCCATCCCATCCCATCCCATCTCTCCTTGCTCAGCACTCGCTGCCTGCAAATCCCACCCAACAAAGCCAGGAGCCAGCCCAAGTGCTGGGAGTGCTCCCAGGCACGCGTTTACAGCAGCCACGAGACCCCACACACTCCCTGTGAACCCCATTTCAGCATTCTGTCCTTCAGGAGATCCCACATGCTCCCTGGGATCCCCATTTCAGCATTCTGTCCTTCAGGAGATCCCACACACTCCCTGTGATCCCCATTTCAGAATTCCCTCCTTTAGGAGATCCCACACGCTCTTTCTAATCCTCATTTCAGCATTCCCTCCTTCAAGGGATCCCACACACTCCCTCTGATCCCCATTTCAGAATTCTTTCCTTCAAGGGATCCCACACACTGCTCCTCACCCCCATTTGAACATTGCCTCCTTCAGGAGATCCCATCATTCCTCTTCATCCCCATTTCAACATTCCCTCTTTCAGAAGATCCCACACACTCCCTGTGATCCCCATTTCAGCATTCCCTCTTTCAGGAGATCCCATCACTCCCCCTCATCCCCTTTTCAGCATTCCCTCTTTCAGAAGATCCCACATACTCCTTCCAATCCCCATTTCAACATTCATTCCCCTAATGGATCCCACACACTCCCCCTCATCCTCATTTAATCCCACACCTTCCTGAAACCCCTTTGGAACCCCAAGAATTAGAGCTCCCGGGTTCTGTGAAAACGGGTTTTTGTGTTAATTTTAAATACACAGGGAGAAATCAGTCTTAAATGTTTCTGCCTATCAGCCCGTGTAAAACAATCAAACCTTTGGTGCAATTGTCCTTTCTGAAAGCAGCAATGCCATCAGGAATGTTTTTATTTCCCCTTTCATAGAGAATTGGGGTTTATTTTCATCACGGATTCATTTTCTCAGTGGCTTTATTTTCACAGTGACCTGAGCAATGGAAAGAAGTCAGGAGAGAATATTCTGCACGGAATGTTTGAATTCAGTTTCCCTGCTGGGATCTGTGATTGCAAACCCAGCTCCTGCGTCACAGCAAATCTGTGAGTGTCCAGAGCAGCTGCTCTTAGTTCTGCAAAGGGAAAATCCAAAATCCAAAATCCAAACTCACCCTGCACCCTGAGCACCCCTGGGCCAGCCTGAAGGGTTGTCCCACACCCCAGGACCTCCATGGAGAGCTTAAGAACCCTGATCCCAACCAAATGCCAGGAATAATTATCATTACATGAGTTATTTTCCCAGCCTGAGGCCAGTCCCTCTTGTCCTGTCCTTTGTTGCCAACCTCCTGTCAGGGAGCTGCTGAGAGATTTGTTACAGTCAGAGATGAAGCTGATTCCCTTGATGGACTAATTGATGCTTTTTATCAATTATACTAATTTCCTAAAACCTATAAAATGTAAAAAATGGCTTTTGTGGACCTCCTTCCTTAACTGCCCCTGAAGGTCTTCAAATAAAGATCCACTTTTCTATCACCTCCATACTAAAACTCTCCTGGATTTCATTTCCAGGCTGGGAAAAAGGCAACGCCTGGAGGTGGCACTCAGGGCTCTGGTGTATCCCAATATCTCCCCCTTCTCTTTTCCACCAAAACCCCTCATTAGTGGCCTTATTAATTAATCTCTGCACACATTGAAAAGTATCATGATTAATACAATTATTATCAAAATTACCACATACACACCTATTCTAAAAAGAATTTTTTAGTTAAAAAACCTTAGCCACTAAAGACTCAGGCTTGATCTTTATAAACTAAAAACATTCCTGATGGAAGCTGCAGGGAGGGCATTAGTGGATTTAGAAAGGCTGCCAGGACTAGAATTGTACTAAAATGTTTGATTTTTATACACAGGGTGACAGGGAGAAACACCCCAAGCTTTAGTCTGATTTATTTAAAATTAACACAAAAATCCATTTTCACAGAACCCAGGAGCTCTAATTCTTGGGGTTCTAAGGGTGTTTCAGGAAGGTAAGGGATCAAATTTGATTTGATTTCCAAAATTTTTTTTGTGTAAATATTGGTGTGAAGTTCTCCACACCTCCAGGCCTGCCCTCCCCAGGGAGCTGCAAAGGAAATTTTCTACCTGCAAATCCCAGCAGAGCCTCTCACCACCAGGAGGACATTCCACAGCTGGACACAGCATCCAGCTGACATTCTTCAGCTTTCTTCCAAGTTTCCCACATTTAAATATATCCCAGACAAATCTTACAGAAATTGGAGTGGGATTTGTTAACTCTTTCCTTAACTTTTTCCTTCACTCTTTCCTCATTAAGAAATAGTTGGGAAGTTTTTCTCTGGGTTTCAGCAGCGCTCAAAGTAAACCCTAAATCACCTCTGGGAATCACCTAAACCATCTTAAACCATTCTAAACCATCCTAAACCACCCCAAACCACCTTTGGGATCACCTAAACCACCTAAACCATCCTAAACCACCCCAAACCACCTTACCTTTGGGATCACCTAAACTGTCTTAAACCATCCTAAACCACTCTAAATCACCTAAACCACCTTTGGGATCATCTAAACCAACTAAACCATCCTAAACCACCCTAAACCATCCTAAACCACCTTTGGGATCACCTAAACCAACTAAACGATCCTAAACCACCCTAAACCATCCTAAGCCACTCGAAATCATCCTAAACCACCCCAAACCACCTTTGGGATCACCTAAACCATCTTAAACCATCCTGAACCACTCTAAATAACCTAAACCACCTTTGGGATCACCTAAACCAACTAAACCATCCTAAACCACTCTAAACCATCCTAAACCACCCCAAACTACTTTTGGGATCACCTAAAGCATCTTAAACCATCCTAAACCACTCTAAATAACCTAAACCACCTTTGGGATCACCTAAACCACCTAAACCATCCTAAACCACCCCAAACCACCTTTGGGATCACCTAAACCATCTTAAACCATCCTAAACAACTCTAAATCACCTAAACCACCTTTGGGATCACCTAAACCACCTAAACCATCCTAAACCACCTTTGGGAATCACCTAACCTTTTTTTGGGTTTGTTTTTTTTTTTGTTTGTTTTAAACCATAAATCCACATTCTCACTTCTAACACCTAAATTTGGAAGCCCTTTTCTAAGGATTCAGATCAAATTTTGTCTTTAAGTCTAAACTTCAGCTTGCACGCCCAAAGTTCTGAGAATTCCCTACATTTTGGATTCCAACACTTCTGGGAGGGCCACGCCAAGGAGGGAACCCGGAGCTCCAAGTGAGGCTGGGCCCTGCCAGGGCAGGGCTGAGTCACTCGGCCCCAGATGATTTTGGGTGTTTGCTGCTGCTGAAATTCCCCCTCAAAACAACAGATCAGGTTTTTAAAACACCTTTTTCTCTTGGGGTTCTGTGGAGAAGAAGAGGCTCCAAGTAGGGAAACGCATCCAGAGCGGAAGGATCCCATGAGGTTTGGCAGCCCTGCCTGGATTTATCCATCTGCTTTTCCTCTTTGCTTGGATGCCTGGTGCTTCAGTGAAAGCTGAAAGTGATGCAGAAATGCTGGGTTTTGGGAAAGAATTGATTTAATATTTACATTTATGGTTTAGACCAACAAGAAAAATCACTATTTATGTATTTCTTGTTGGAGAAGGTCTTGTTGTATGGATATTTATGGATACCTTGTTGTTTAGACATGAGATTTCTAGATTTTTTTCACACATTTGTTGTACTTAAGAAAGACAGGAGAATTTTTAATGATATTTCCCAACTTTTTCTGTCCCTTATAGGCTTCAGATGATGCAATTTTAGAAGAATTTGATAATGTGAGAACTTCTTGGCCAATGATGTTGCTATTTACTGTCCCAGGGTTAAGTTAATCTTTCAGGGAGGATTTTCTCTTAGAACTAAATATTTTTAAACCTTCTCTCCTTTGTCTTGTAGTCGAATTCTCCTTGAAACAGATTCCCATTTTTATCAGCAACATCAATGGGAGACAAGAATGGATCATTGTGTGTAGTGGTGCTTTGGTTTGGAAAAAGCAAACAAAAACCTCCACGTGAAAGCCGAACAAACCCCAAACATTTGGGATTATTAAGAGCAGATGTGAGCAGAGAAGAATGGATTCACTCATAAAAAAACTGAACGTTTGCCAAGTGCAGATATTTGAAGTCCTATAGTGACAGTTGTTGGAGAAAAGAGTTGAACCTACCAACATTTAAAATGTATATACTAGAG